GATGACCAGTAAATTACAAAGCGCTTGCTGACTTCTGTACGATCTCCAATGTTTCAGCATGGAGCCACTTGGTGCGTTAATTGTTGAAGTTACAGTAATACTTCATCGATTGCTTCATGTTCCTGTCTGAAGCTGTACGATGATAATGCATCAAACAATAGACGCGCAATAGAAGCAATAGGTAGAGTAACGATATATGATTTGCCGTTTCAACTCGAATTAAATATCGCCAAGATCACGAAAATAGATTCGGGCGCTTGATAGGACAATTGAAGAGACAAATAAAGCCACTTCCGCGCGTTGCATGTACCGTACGTACCAGCATACTCTCAGTAGCCGCCAGTCCCATTTTTCATGAGACCTCGGAACAGACCCGTAACGCTTCAAAGAATGTTGTAACATGCTCTTCGTATTCCTATATGAGATCATGATAATAAAGAAGGACCGGATGGTTGAGTATCATCGATAGCCATGGCCAAGAATGATTTTGCACAATAGAAAGGAATTATTGAAGGTCCGGAATGGCCGCATGATTAATGTAAGACATTTCCGACAATAATGCGCATTGATGAGTGTGGGTGTGGGTGTTGATGATTGAATATTTGAGATCTTTTTCCAAGATTTATCGCACTGCCACATCTTTGAAGCTTTGAAAAGTGGAATGTCCTCTCGTGATATATAGAGAGTCCGGATGTGGCATCGTCTGATAATTTTATTGGACATCGCATGAATTTTGAGGGTGTTGAGGATATATTGACTTTGAATGAAGTTTGAACCCTGGGAAACAACCTAGTAATGACGGGTGTAAAAACGTCGGCATTGATGAATAAAACGTCTTGTATCGTAGGCTGAGTCTACTATGATGAATCATAACCTGGATTGACAGACTCACAGTACGGCCATAATACTGTCGCCAAAACTCCGGAGAGAAGGAGATGGTAGATGGTGGATAAGGAATGCCATTTTCGGATGATAATGTAGCAGTAGCAGTGGCAGTAGCAGGAACAACGGGATGTATTTGAAATGGGTGGAGGGGGGATGTTTCAGGCGAATTCATTCATTTTGACCAATACCATTCGAGGGTGATGAATTTCTATGGGGCAATTACTTGTGATTTGTTGAGACTCTATTAGACAATAACCGTACGGAGATTTTGAGAAATTTGTTACGAAGAAGAAAAGACGTTTGATCGGCCTCGACTCTCTGCCTTTCATGTCGCCCTGATCGAAGTTTGTCATAATTCTTGTACGCATGGCAAATTAGATGTATGTATTAATAATGATCATAATCTCATTATCGCAATACTTTTTCTTCTCTCGTTGCCGAACATCATGGCTGGGTAGCAAAAAAGGGGCTGGGGTAAGGAAAGCAAGTACCTAGTACACATACACAGTAATATGTACATACGCACGATACGGTAGATATTCATTAAGCTCTACCTAATTACGGCTGCCCTCCGACTAGAAGATCTGGAAATCTGGGAAGCGGATTCTAATTGGATCTAAATGGATCTACACACCACTAACCATTGACTTCGGCTGAGGTTTACTTTAGAAGCAACATCAAATGAACTTTCTAGTCCCGTACCCCATCCCTTGGCTTTGGTCATATCTCACCAATGATCTTTCACACATTGTGGTTGAGCATTAATCTTTATCTTGCCATTATCATTGCCATCGTGAACATGGATATGGAAGGATGTTCGTATCAAAGTGACAAGCCTCGTCTTCTAATCTCTTCCATGAGCGGGAGGGGGTGCATTCCCTTCGGTATTACCATTGGTTGGTAGGTACTTTGGACATGTTCGAACTTCGGAGTTGTCGTACGCATTATAAGCATTACCTACTTGATTCATATAAATCTACTTCAGCCATCTCTCAGCCACACAATTTGACACAGAGTTATTGCGGACTTCCATGAAAAAAAGTCAAAATTTTCTCGCTTCCTTGACCTGGTAAGTCGATGATATGATCTACCTAAGTATGTATGATTCTCCCCGAGGTCGTTAGAGTTTTCGTTTTGAAGAGGTTGGCATGGCACGGTTGGGCTGTAGATATATGGGTATCTCGCTATCTGGGCATCGTCGGAGGTGGGAAAAGATTAGGAAAAAGTCGTCATTCCAGTATTGCGCATGATGTGTTCAGTGCCCAGGTGGAGGTAACAAGCATTATTCCAACCCTACAGCATCGATTGATTGATGAATGATCAACCATCCACATATTCTAAGAAAATATACTTCCAGACTCATATTTTTTGAAAAGTACAGGGAATATTTGTTGTGTGATCGTTGCCAAATCATGGGATATTCGCTGAAGTGTCACATTCACCGCTCTCAATAGAAGGCTCGACACGTATATGCTGATCCATTTAAATACCGATGTTGACCATTACTCGCCATGCGGAGTTAGTGAGATCGTAACCAGTCATAGCAGCCATATTGGTGAAGTTTGCGATATATTCGAATCATATTGAATGCTTCCACCGTTTTCCCCATTTTATCATCGTCAATACATCTTCCTCCTTCAGTTGAACTCCCCCTCACGCTTCATTTCCAATCTACATGCATTTATTGGCATTTAGTTGGATATCTTCATAAATCGAATTCTTCCAGTGGTTTCAGGATACTCAACTTTATCGTAACCGCACAGCCTTACTTCAGCCCTTTTTATCGGCACTTGACCTAAAGAGCTCGAAGAAACGAATTAACCCCAAGAACTCTGCAGAACCAGCAAACAAACGAGTCTGGAAAAGCGACGGGAACGATAGAGAGAGATACACGAAAAAGAGAGAACTGCAGTTTTAGAGATCGTCCAAACACGGCATAACGGCCAGTGTAATTGCTTATGCTCATGCTTATGCTCCAGCTCAAATTACATACATTCTAGCTTGTTGCCTATACTTACTACTCTATTATACATTCCTCCTACACGAAAGCATAGATTCGAATCTCGACTCCTGTTGAATTCTTGATACATCGTTTTACAGCAGAACTGTACAACTTCTACCTTACTTAGACTTGTCCTACAACATCTTTTGAAGCATTACACACAAATCATTCCTCGTTACCTTGGACGATCAATTCGAAAGATCAAACCCTTGGTTTCAACTGAGCCCTTGTATATTTTGAACATCTTGAACATCTAGGTGTGGTTGTCTCGCCTGCCATCTGATCCTCGGGGCGCAAGGTACTTTGACCAATCGAGCTACTAAGTACATCTGAAACCCGCTGCATTTCGCATGCATTGGTCCATCCACGCTCCCACGCACCGACGCCACTAGCCTGACCCTTTTTCCAATCATCGCCTAGCTAGTACACCAAAGAATAGATATACCATTCGGAAATCCCACCTACCAATTAATCCAATCTATACCTTGCTGTTTATTATAATAGCTTCAAGAAACCCTTGTCATCCTGAACGATTAGCCATTTCGAAAGTTTGGAACTACCATTAGAGCCACTTGCATCCTTGGTTCCATTTTGAGAAACGAGGGGTATCAATCAATCCCAAGCATCCCTTTCCCAGCGCCTAGGACTCAATTTGGTATTTTAGATACTATACACTTTCAATCTGGTCCAATTATTCCTAGACGAACTTGACATTTCCTTACTGGACCGAAAATACATTTACTTCTGGCAAGGAAGAGCTGGATACTGTAGGGAGAAAAGCATTGGGGCATACGAAAGACAATTAAAACCTTCTGAAGCAAAGATCAAGAAAGGGAAAAAAGAAATCTAGTACACTTACATACCTCCCTCCAGCCTCGACAGAGGGTATTTACATATATCGTCTACAACTCTCCCCCCTTCCATACATCATTCACATTTCTCATCGAAAACCTCGACATTCTTCCTTTTATAGACTTCTTCTAGGGTTCTCAGAATCCTTCGACAATACCATACAATACAATCCATCTTTGGAATTAACCCTTGACAAACGTACCGACAATTCAAACCCGGTACTTCGACCGATCGATTTTCACTGGGGTCGATCGTCAAGTCGTTATCACAACTCTCTTTTAAGGGCTATCAACTCAGGAGTAGACTACGATTACGGCCAACACGAAACGAAACGAAACATAAGACAAGAGATTATCACAACGGGGTACTTCAATTTAGCTTCCAGTTGAACTATCAACTCATCGATTCGAGAGGAAAGAGCAAATAAAATCAAACCGTTTCACCAGTCGCTCATATAAATAACACAAAGTGGTTACTTGCTAGCTACTTGCTTCAAGTTGCTTCGGCCTATTCGCTGACCTTCTTCACCTAACCTCACCTCACCTCCACCGCACGAAAATCCTCCGCGCCTATCTGCATATCATCATTTTGGCCCAATCGACTTCAGCCACTCTTTACCCTAAAACAAACCCCCCTGCCTTTTCAATCCGCCCCTAGGAACGTCTTTGTCAGGCTTGAGGCGAGACAATTCCGGATTTTTATATAGCCAACTGATCCTCTTCAGTGCCTCCACGCATAGTAACCAGCTGCGCCAACTTCATTCCTCTATAGGATTCCGCTGGTCGGATCTTTTCTCACTCATTCGCGAAATTTAAGATTCAATATTACGAGCTTTGTGGTCGTCATTATTTTTCTTAATTTCATTTTGAATTTTTTTCGAAAGATTTGACTCACCTTTATCGTCTTGTATTTTTCTATTCGACGATTTCTTTCCCTATTGTTTTCAACAGCCGAGTGTACTTTAGCCTCAGCCGACAAACCACAATAGGATTGAGGCCTGGAGACAATAGAAACAGTCACATTTTTTTTCTCCCCCCAAAAAAAGAACTAGACAATCAATATTGGCTCAGGACAATAACGACTTTCCTTTTTATGACCTTATAGCTTGGTGTATCTTTACTCTTATCTTTTTGTTACGAGATCATTATTCCATTTCCCAATATCAGAGGTTGATCAAGTCACGATCTACAACATATCTACATACAAGTCAACGACACCGAAGTACAACGACTACAAGCAGTACAATATCACTCAAGACGCCATGTCGCTCAACTCAAACGTTCCTAGAACCTCTAATGAGGTGGCTTTAGGCCATTTTGTTTTCCAAACAGTTTCTCAAGATATGATCAACTACCTTGCTCAAAAGGCGAGAGAAGTTATTCAGTGCGAACCCACACAAATCTCCTCAAGTCAAGGTCCCTCACCGCCTCGAACTCCCCCTCAAGAGAAAAGATCAGCATCAGATTTACCGTCATTAGAGAGATTCATTACTTCTTTGATAAAGAGATCCAACGTTCAAGTACCTACACTCATGACCAGCTTGGTATACCTGGCTAGACTGAAGAAGAGACTGCCACCAGTTGCAAAGGGTTTAAGATGTACAGTTCACAGAATTTTCCTTGCAACGTTGATCTTATCAGCCAAGTTTCTTAACGACTCATCACCAAAGAACAAGCACTGGGCTGAATACTCGAATGTCCGTGGTTTTCCAGAATTTTCATTCACCAGGACAGAAGTCAACCTCATGGAGAAGCAGTTACTTCAGCTACTCAACTGGGATTTGATTGTCAGCTCTGATGACCTCTATAGTCATTTGGAGCCTTTCCTCACACCAATCCGATTTGACTTGGATCGAAAGCAAGAACAATACCGCATTCGCGAAGCACGTCTACAAGCTCAACGAGAACAAGAAGCCCTCGCAATGCAAAACATGTCCTTTGATCCAGCCGGAAGATACTGGATTCCAACAACCGAAGAAAAGTATATGCCATACTACGGCGAACAACAATCCCTTTTCACTGCCGAAGACCCATACAACCACTACTCACCACCATCCTCATCCGAGATTCCCGGTCTTACTCGAAGCGGTACCGCTGATACTATCGACGCCATGTCCTCTTCCGCCTCATCTTACATTTCCGAATTATCTCGCTCGGGTACACCTCTATCATCTGTCAGCAGCTACCTTGACGAGAACGATGCCATGCAATGCGATACCTACTCCCCTTCAGGTGTTGCCCGTGATATTGTTACCGTCAAAGTTGCCGGTGCTGATGGAAAGCTCAGACCTATGCTTCCCTACGAAATTGACAACATGTCTCATCCTGACAACATGACAATGGCAGAGGAAAAGCGTCGCGCGGCTAAGAAGTCAAAGGGCAACTTCTTAACACGATACTTTGGTGGTCAAAAGAATCTCTCCACTGTGTGAGGCCCCTCTATACTTCTCATTATGGTTTCGGATCGGGAGTTTATTGAAAGGAAGGAAGAAAATGGCTTGTTTGGTTTACGATTTTCTTTGTATCAATTGATGAATTTTCGTCTTTTTTTTTTTTTTTTTTTGGCTCTTATCGAACTTGAGAATGGGGTCTCATGAGCATGAGAGTTTGCATTATATCACATCTTGCATCGCAAGGAGTTTATTGGGCGTTTAGATTGGAGTTCAATCACATCACGTCACATCATGGATGGGCATGTGGAAAGAGATGTTAAAAGGACAGTCTTGATCTTCAGGATGAAAAAACAAATCTGGATTTCTTTTGCCATCTGGAATTGGGTTAGATGTCTTTTTGACAGGAAGGATTAGGATGGAGGGATTGGGACTTGGGCACGGAAATACCCTGAGTTATTTGAAGTGCATATACGCTGGAACTGGGTGGATATACGTGATAACGTTAACGTTACATGAGCATGGAATGGCATTTGGTAGCATTAGCATAGAGTTTGAAGGTCTGGTTGGACCCGATCGGCATCAATCTGATCGCTTGTGTTCGTTAGGGAATACAATGAGAGGTGGATTTTAATTATTAATATGTTACACTCCTACCAAGTCTATCTGTGCCTTCTGAGTTTTATGTGCATTTTGTGAGATTGTGAGGGTGACTGTTTTACCCAATATTGTGTTCAGGAAAGGTACTGGTAGAAGTCTACTAGTGTATTAATTCACCTCAGAGATCGTTTGCTACTGGCACCGAAAACCCCAACTCTGGAAATCCTTTATATCCGTCTTGTTTCTCTTCAACACTCTTTGTCAAATCAAGTAAGCGTCACTCTAGTCTGGCTCTGATAATTTACCTCAATCTCTTTGGTGTAAGTACGGGTTCAAATAGAGTGATACCCAAAGTGTCCGTCTCCAAAATGGCTGACGCTTCAAGATACAAAGCTCTTTTTTCTGCTAACCAATCTATCTAATACGTATACTCGGCTCTAAATTAGGACGAATCAGGCTTAGTTTTGTTCCATATAAGTAATTTTTTCGGAACAAATGGATTCTTTGCTACTTCATATTTGTATTTGTACGTTGAATGACGGATATTAGTTGAGTATCCACTTTACCATTGTGACATTAACTGCTTGTTTCGAAATACCTACTTAATTCCGGGGTTTCTTGTACCCTAGCGCATGTGGAGACAAGATCTAAGTTGCAGGCAGGTCTTCAAACAATCTCGTATCAAATTCGCGTGAATCCAATAAGTTCCCGTTGCCATCAATCTAGAGCTTTTCATGATATCTTTATTTCAACAACCCAGAAGCACCTATGTATTCAGCTCTCGATCGAATCGCACTTGGCTAGGACCTTGTTTGTTTTTTGAGATAGCCGCCATGTTTAACAGTGAAGTTCCGACTTCAGACACCTTACGCGGTCTCCTGGTTAGTTTGGGACTTGTCAAAATAATTTTAAGCGTGGCATCTATCCCATTACTATGATCCTCTGCTAGCTCAAGTAGGCAACACAACATTTCATCCACATCTTCCAGCATTAATCTCGCTCATAAAATCGAACACTGCAAAGTACAAAGAAGACTGTGGTTATAGTAGGTAGCTGCTGAGTTAGGTATACAGGTAGTTTGCACAGTTGTTGAATATCTCCGGCATCAACGCTATTGAGGTTTATGTCATCTGTGGGTGTATCAGGACTTGATAGGTATTACTCTAGCAGCTGTGCAACCAAACTGCGGAATGTCACTATTGGGCTTTGATACTCATTTTGTAGTAAGAGATAATACCTACAAAAGGATTCCGATATAATAAGATCGGACCCAGGCCGCACTACTTATATCAGCATGATACAGAGCATCGAATATGAATATATGGGATTGTTCGTATTAAAATCACTATGCACCAGTAATTTACTCATTCCTAGATTGAGGATCCTATTTCCGAATTGGCTAGTGCCGAGAAGCCGCTGGGCACAGGTTACGATTCTCGGATTGAAGGCTTCCTGCTCGGCTGATATTATGCAATATATCGGCTTCGTCGATTTCGGGCAATTGACGAGGCTTCAAAATGTGCTAGGGTGTGTGTATGTTTTGAACACTTGGTTGAGAACTACATACTCTAGAAATGGGTTTGGACGATTGACAAGATTTCTGAAGTTTTTAAACTTGGAATCATCTGGTTTCTTCGATCTTTAATCTCCATTTGACCTTAGGCTCGAAAAGGCTCTCAGAATGATAATTATCAAACAAGCTGATTACTAATATCCACATCCAAAACCAATGTAACAAAATAGAGTGAAATCATAGAATAGTGCTTGGTAGAGGGATATAATTACCGTAGAAATCTCCTTGCGTATACCGGGAACGGATTCTAGCAATATTTTTGGTCAAAACGATCTCCATTGAGATATGGCAGCCGCTGGGCTTGGGGGCAAGAAGCTGTGTTACGCAGTCCCAGTGGCCTTAACGGCAGCCCACCAAAGCTTCTCATCCACCACTGTTATTCGTTTCTTATTTTCAACAGCATTCTGAGAACGTAATAATCTTCCTTTCATCTATCATTCTTCAAATTCGAATCGAATAGTATAAGACCAAGCTTTAGGCTGCTTGTCATGTTGAAGACAAATCCATTCCAACTGTGGTGGTCATGATTATGTGTTCTATCTCCAATGCACAGATATATAGCGTATGTAATGTGCTGACAACAGCGAAGCGTTTTTCAACCTGCGTGAGCAGTAACAATCGCAGTTCTTGGTTCCCACTTTGCCTTCTTGCATAATGAGGGAGACCGCAGATAATGTTATCCAAGCCATCGAACTCATATCACTTCTGACATACCTTTAATCGTTCCCGGCTTCCTATCAATACATGAAATACTAAATAACCGACACAAGGAGCATGTAGGCTTTATGCCATCATATTTCGTCTTTTGCCCGCGACCTGGACCAAGACAACAAGGCAGGGGGAAGTGCATTAACATCAAATTGGGTTCTTTGTTATTCACTTCACATTAAGACAGAGGTTGGTGAGTGGGCTCTAGATGGAATATTGCTATACACCAAAACCGCAAAGACAAAGTTCTCATTCGACAAAGCGCTCTTGGAAAAGCCCCTCCCGTCAACCTTTAACGAGGACACAGACTGGCTTCAACAGCTGGAGCTGAGGGAATCATTGCTCGTGATGCTACTTTCCTCTGATAACTTGGGACGATGTCTTCTTACGAACAGCTGTATTGCCAAGTTCTGCATTCATGCTGGCTTCCAATTTTCTGATAATGCGTATTGGGGATTGCAATGAAACAAAGTTATGACTGGCAGACGCGATCAGCAGGTTTATTATACTGCCGCAGGCAAGTGGAGAGTAGAAAACAGCTCCGAGGATTTCCACAAAATGGAAATGTGTGAGTATGGCGCCAGAACATAGAAGGAGATCGGATATTCATTCGGTAGGCGGGTAGGTGTATTAGATGGGCTTTGGCTATTAGCGTTAGCCACTGAGATCTAAAACGTAACTAGGTCTGAAAATAGAGAGAAGTACTAAGTCAGGCGCCGATCTCGATTCAAGATCCCAAAGTATCCTTTGACTCATTGTCCACACAGCCAGGATTACTCGAGATGCTCCTTGGGAGGTCGGAACAGTCGGATGTCGGATATAAATTATATCATTAGGTACCTATGTGCGAGACGAACGACGTTAACTCCGTGGGCTAACAGCCATGTTTCTAACCAGTGTGCGCTAACTCAAACGCCTTTAGATTTGTTTCTTCATTATTACATACTGCTAGGGTACTTTGTATATACTAGGTACTCATATAGTGCCCGTAGACACTCCAAGGTCACAACGTGTTAACTTTGGTTCGTAAAGAACAGAAGGCAATGGTGAATTTTTTAAAGACTACCGCATTATACCGCAGAGTCTCTTCTTATTTCAACAATTCAATTAAATCATCCTCGATCGGATCTCTTTCGCTTACAAAACGCCGTATATTCTCCATGTTCTACACCAACGAAATGCATACGCCGCACATCCTGGTCATCGGTGGTGCCTATGGAGGGTTCTCCGTCGTCACAAATGTGTTGAATTTGATAGAGGGAAATCCTCAATTATCTTCACCTCTTCCTCCACCCCCACTGGATGATTGCACGATTTTGACTACTCCACGAATAACAATCCTCGACGAACGAGATGGAATATGTCAGTAATTTTCCATATTTTCCTGTCGTTGAAAATTAACCTTATTCCCCTTTAGATCATACCATGGGATCACCGCTGGCCCATTCCAATTCAGAATTCGCATCGGAAGCTTGGAGGAGATTTGACGATATCCCCATTCTGCATCGTCAAGATGTCCGTACGATTCAGGGAAAAGTAGGTTCAATTGACATGGCGTCTCGAGTCGCCACATACTAGGAGAATTCTACTAGTCCGTCGAAGCACATCCCGTACGACTACTTAGTTGTAGCGACAGGAACAAGTAGAAATTGGCCAGTAGTGCCACAATCATCAAAAAGAGAGGAGTATCTGCAAGATATTCATGACAACATCGAGAGCTTGCGTGGTTCAAGAAGAGTGGTGATAGTTGGTGGAGGTATATAAAGTGATGGCCTGCTAATACTAAATAATGCTAACAACACATTTCAATATAGGCGCTGTTGGTGTTGAATTTTCTGCAGAGATCAAAGCTAATTTCCCAAGCACGGAAGTTTATCTGATTCAATCTCGTCCACACCTTCTCCACGCCGAGCCTCTCCCCAAGGGATTCAAACAGCGAGCAGCTGATATTCTTGCTGGACTGGGTATCCAGCTCCTATTGGGTTGTAGGGTTGACAAGATTCTAGATGGCGGTAGATCAGGATTCAAGAGCATGCTCACACTGTCGAACGGACTTCATCTCGGAGCAGATCATGTAATACACACAAACTCGCCTCACGTGGCCCGTACGGACTTTCTCCCGATAAAGGCACTCAACTCACAGGGGTATATAAATGTTCGATCTACGTAAGTTTCCACTAACATATCTCCAAGAAATCCTGTTTTAAACCTTCTCAGGCTCCAATTCCCGTCAAATCTAGTGAACGCAGATTTTCACTATGCAGCCGGTGATGTAGTGTCATGGTGTGGCATCAAGAGAGTGGGCAATGCATTCATAATGGGTCAACATGTTGCCACAAACATTGTCCGTCAAATGTGTAGCAGTCGGATGGAGAGGGATCCTAAAACGCTAGCTGTGTGCCCTCAAATCCAACCTATGATGGCATTATCGATTGGAGATACTGCTTTAGTTTATCCCGAAGGCGAAGGTGATTCATGGGGCGAAGAGCAACAAAGTTTAGTTGTGAGACGAGGTCTTGGTATTGATTGTAAGTTGATATTTTGGTACAAAATCCAATAGACTAACAATTGTTCTAGTATGCTCAGTCTATCTTCAAATTTGACCTGTCTATACGTTGGGACCATAGGGCAATATCACTCAAAGTTAATGACTGCATACGTTGAACCAGAGTTCTGATTACTGGTGGACTATGAAAAATCACTGCCGTAGCCACGGAGTTGTGACAGGAATGTGCTGCAGGCTACATTTTACAGACCACAGAACGTTTGACATCAGCGTAGGCAAGGGGGGCTCAATTTGGAAAAGAATTATGGACATGCTTGATCAATCCAGAAGAAACGATGGTTATATCCCTATTATGGTGTTATCAAAGTCAACTGTGGCCACGAAAAGTACTTTCGCAAAGAAAACAAGATCTGTATATCTTTCTTCAATCGCTGTTGCTAGTATGTTCGAGGCAATCTATATTCTGGAGTCGTTAATATCATTCGCCCAAAATGAACGCAGGCTCATGGGTAAATTGATGAGAGTGGTGATAACCACTGTTAGTTATTGATATAACAGAAAGAAGATCTCGAACAAGTTAAAGAATTACCTTGATATATCAACCGATTCTCTGAATATGGATAAAGTGCAGGGTTTGGGGTTGCGAATCACATCGTGGTGCATCGTTTATATGTGTTTCACTTGGCAAATAACAATGATCTGAATTTCAGTTTTGCAATATCAAGCAATCATCAAGTTGTGTTCGATCGGAATAATACTCTCCTAATAATTCTTCTGCATCGAGACCTTTAACTCCGGGAAATCTGGCACAATAGGGTGAGAATTTCCATTCTGGCCCGCAATTGGTGGGGCCACATATTCCTTCCTCCGCTTTGTGTACCCGTCCGTTGATTGTAATGACATTTAATCGATCGTGATCTTGTAAAATGGTAATATCTTCTAACGGATTCCCATCGACCAGAATACAATCTCCGTAAAAGCCAGCTTGAATCTTACCCAGCTCATGATCCCTCATAAACAGTTTTGCGACCCCCGCTGTCGCCGCGATTATTGATTCCATGGGCGTGAAGTCAAGCAGGTTGACAAAGTGCGCCAGATCCCGTGCGTAGGTACCATGTGGTGTCCACGCGAATCCATAGTCCCCACCAGGGAGAATGACGATTCCACGCTTGTGCATCTCACGGAGACCCCGGATCGCTGCATCAAGCTCTTTTTGATAGCCAACGGACTCAGCTTTTTGGTGCGTAAAGCCAAACGCAGCGGCGTCATTTACTAGTGGAATTAGTACTAACATACTGCTTGGGTGTTGGGGAATACTTACGGGTGGCTATAAGCCAGTTCAAGGCAGGTGCTACGATGTGCTTGTCTTTTTTTGCATCTAGCATCTCCATTCCCTCATCATCAATGTAGGATGCGTGATATATGACATCGACGCCATGTCTGATACACATCTTGGCCGAGTCGCGTGCCCTTGCATGAGCACAAAGTCTTGCACCCAAGCTGTGCGCTTCATCTACGCAAGCTGCTGTTTCGTCGTCGGTATAGTAGCAATCTTGTGCCGATCTTGTTTCAGTAATCTGTTGATGTTAATTTATTTCTATGGAAGAAAAGTATGAATATAAATAGACGGACCTCTTCTCCACTCATACTTAATTTGACTTGATCTACACCGATTTTGACATGATGTCTGATCACCTCTCTCATTTCCTCAGGTCCATCGGCATAGGCTGTGATGCCTGCAACCAAATCACCATCTCGGCGTGCCATTTATTTACCATTGGCAAGATATCTCGGCCCTGGAATGTCACCTGCATTGATAGCATCTCGAATAACTACGTCGAGTCGTTCCTTTGCTGATGCTGCACCAAAACACCTGAAATCCAGTTAATCTTTGGGTCAATGTAGAAAGGAATTTCAAGTAATATCACCTACATTGTGTAACCAGAATCAAGGTAACACTGTGCACTCCTTGCCGTCAAAAGCACATGTTCCTCGACTCCCAAGTCTCCTAACCTATTCAAATCCCCTCCATTCCACGACAAATGTGTGTGGGAATCTCCCAACCCACTCATCAGCGTCCTTCCGCGACCATTGAACACGCGGACTCTATGGTCCTTCCTCAATTCCTCAACATTCTCTACAACTCCCACTTCACTGATCCTTTCACCTTCAATCAACACATCGCCACGGTATGGGTCACGTCCAGTGGAATCAAGGATATTCACGTCGAGAAAGAGGAGCTTAGACTCAGGGTGAGTACCTAGTATTTCGTAGTTTTTCGGCTGGAGAGATGAGTCAAATTGGATATTTTTGATAGTAGCAACATTTCGTGGGGGTCCGCTATATTTATCGGAACTCGTTGGTTCCTCTCGAAAACTGGGGTTCGGCGAACCGATTCGGGATGGTGCCATAGTATGGATGGAATTAAGCTAATGATAAGGTGATGATGATATGAGGATATAGGTAGTTCTCACGATATTTGTATTTTGAGGATACTTTTACAAGGTACTTATTGTGCTGCCTTCCCAGTTCATATTTATATTCATAATGTGACTACTTACAGTATAACAATAGCTCAAGCAGGGAAAGCTAGCTATCAAGACCGGGTGAACGGACCAATGAATAATAGATAGTCGGCCGCTTGGAAGAGTCGACTATTTCCTGTCAACCATAGCGTTTACAAAGATGCAATGAGAAGGTCTCACGAAATTGCGGAGTTAAGAATTCGCCGGTAGATGGAATGTGTGGATGTGGTTTCATCAACACATACCTACATGGTATGATGCGGGGTCGATTCACTAACGCATTATTACCCTAGTCACATGTCACCATAAGATCTCCGTCTTCTCCGTCTTGTCATCTCCAAACGCTCAGACTTTAATCATAGCTCCTAGTCGGTTCTCATTAGCCGATTAGTTCTCTAGGGGGTGGGTTTAGATGTGGTGGCTCATCTGGAGCAAGATCAGCGTCGGACAATAATAAGCCTTAGCGTATGTATTAAAGTGCGGCACTCGTGTCGACAGCATGCCTGTTTCTACAGAAAAAAAAATCCCTATAGAGACATTTGTACTCATGTTGTTGTCATTGCCTTTTATCCTCCATCGCTCCAACTGATTCAAACGACATCATGGGATGGATAAATTTAAAGAAGAATAGAAACATTACACCGAAAGTGGAGTTCCAATTCGAAGAGGACTTGAAGGCTACCACTGAAAACATCGAGAATGTGTCTCTAAACGAGTATTCACATCCTCAAAAATACCCCTTCGTTTCCCCTAAAGTATCAGGCTCCCAGCTTCCCTTCATCCCGGCGACTGAAGTCAGAAAAGGAACGTCATCTGAAGTGGGTGGTTTGCGTAAGCCCCATCCATACCTTCTTCCATGAGCCATAGTCTGACAGGTAGTAGTAATAGTGATAGACGAAGTAGTCTATGACTGCACGGAATTCGCAACAGAGCACCCGGGCGGGGAAGGCATTGTAGAGGGCTTTGCAGGCAGCGAATGCAGCTGGCAATTTTGGCGGTTCCACGGGAAGAAGGAAATGGAGGTAGGGTGGATTTTAAGGGTGGGGAGAACGAAGGGCGTAATGAATAAATATGCAGAGCCGATGAAATGGGTTGGATTAAAGACTCTTGGGGATAATGATTGGTGATTGGTGAATGATTGAGGTGAAAGTTGTGCTACAATATAGCAAATACAGTCGTTACCACGCAGATACTGCAAGAAAAGAAATTTAGATTGATCTTATGACTCAAATGTTTTGAAAAAAAAAAAACTACTTGGGTTGGGTAGCGTGTGGATGCGGATGTGTATGTGTAGCTACATATGTTGTGATTCTGGTGCTGTGAAACTCACAAGCCCGGTTCCTTTGCCCAAATGCTAAGAAATGCAAGAATGAGAATGAAGCAATTAACGAGATAGTTTGTGGTCGATGATGTCTAAAATGTTTATGAAAACTGAGGCCGATGAAAAATTTACTCCAATTTGATAGTTTACTGGTTAAATCATTCACATCATCACGAATCTGGAGCAAAGCTAAGGTAAGAAAATGTATTTGAGCATCGAATATGCTCAGTTAAGATGATTTTTATACCAACTGATCATTATCATTCAAGTACCGTTGTACATTGGAAATACGGGGATGTTGATGGGAGTGATACCATTTGCAAAAAGTCCAGCTGTCCCAGCCCAATCTGCATTATCATAAATTAGAGCCCGAAAGTAGTCAACAAGGAAGGAACAACTTACAGCTCAAGAAAGCAACCACAAAACCCAATGCGCTTCCAGCCGTCTCTAGACTCTTCATATCTAACATGTAGCCGCACGCGAGCAAGATCAGAACAAGATCTAGGAAAACCAAATCCAGGAACAGGATCCAAGAAGAGCGCATGGCAGCCACAGTGAAGATTACAGTTAGGATAAACCACGCCCATAGGTACATAGCCAGGGCAGTCGTAAACTGATCATTGAGTTGGCTAGTCTTTGGATCGGTATATGCTGTCATGATTCCGGATCCCGGTAGATATACCATGGCATAAGAGAGATTGAATGCGCCATAGCTGGGGAACACCGTTGCTCCGAACTGTTTCGTTAGAATTTATGCAAAGCATGCTTGGAGGCATCAACCCACAGTGCTGCCGCTAAAAAATTCCATGATACCCGCGATGAATTGGCATACTCCACCGAAGAATACCAGGACTCCAATTAATACATTAGGAGTCGCTACCCCACGAACATTAACTCCGAATATGGAGATCAAGAACATGCCTGAATCTGTGAGTGTCATCTCCACTAAGACGAATATAAGAAGCAAACCATTGGCAAACGAAAGTAATCCTAATGGAGAAGGATTTGCAAATCGTCGATGGACAATAGGATGAGAGGGCTGCGTTCGGTCGTCCGTATGCCCGCCATCAGTTTGCAGCCTCTCAAGATGTGTGGAATTTTCGCCATTAGATTGTTCAATCTTAGAGGCCTGATCGAATGATGCTGTGTTTGGAACCATAACTATGATAAACGAAGTATTTTTGATGAAGAGAACCAGAATGTCTGGCCTTGATACTCATGTGCAGCATCACATGAAATTTATGTGTCAATTTATTTCCATGCATAGATTTGCACTACGAATAGCTCCTAAACTTCATAGTGAGCTGGCTGTAGAGGTTGACTCATTGCTTGACTAAATTACCTTCAACATAATCTCATCGATTGGGTGCAACGTGAAGCGATAGGGGAGGAGCTACTTGATTGTCAAAGCGTGATGAAGTTAGATTGGACCAAGACGATCCGCGTACTTGATACTCCAGGTTTCATTTTCACACAAGGGAGGAGGGTTAGTTGATTTGATAACAATCTTGTCGCTGCGATTTGAGCATATCGCGAGGTGCTTGGCTATTGTTAGAAGAAGGAGATGGACGGAGATGGACGGAGATGGCGGGGCGAGTCCGTTTGTTTCTCCAAATACATGTGGGCCAAATAGTCTTCGGCTAAGTACATGTCGTAGTCCCTAGGTGGGCCTCATGTTAGATTCGGATATGTGAGCGGAAATGACGGAGAGAGTGGGTCAGCATAGGTGAATACCCCACTCACGCTACGCGGGGTGAGGGCGGATTTTCCGGGCTTCTTAGAATGATTGAGGATGAGTCTTGCAGTGAAAGACCAACTACTTTCAGCAGACTTTGAGATTATGCTAAGTGTCGGTACGGGTGTGTGGTTGATCGATTCTAGCGTTTTGAAAAAGGTGGGGAAGCGGTGGATTAAGTGTCATCTCTAAACGTAGATCGCCCATACATTTCTTCCATCATACAAATAGTACTCTCAGTCAACACAGGTAGTTCGAGGATTATAACATTTTTATCTTCCTCGAACACATCACAAAATGACGCAGAATGGGCACTCCCACAATAGTTTCACAAACTATGTTGCATATCGCGACCCAAAACTTCTTGGGCAATCGCGAATTGGGCATCTAGAACTCGAGAATTCTATGATCCAACCTTTGAGCTTCACGTCCGGAGCTCTAATAAAAGACCTTTATCAAGTTATTGAGGTCGGCAGCTCGCAGATCAAACCTGCTGGCGAGAAATTCCCTCTGTCTTCAGTCGAGCTCCTTGCTCCTATTTACGGAAGAGATATACTTGCAGTAGGAAAAAATTATGCCGAACATGCTATAGAGTTCAATACTTCGGGCTATGACTCTAGCGACAAGGTCGATCAGCCTACACACCCTGTTATCTTTACGAAGCGAGCTACAAGTATCATCGCGAGCGAAGAGGCGATTTATCCACATGATGGGTTTACCGAAAGCTTAGACTACGAAGGTGAAATAGGTGTCATAATTGGGAAATCAGGGTTCAAGATTGAAGAGGCAGATGCTATGGACCATGTTTGGGGTTATACAATAATTAATGATGTGACTGCAAGGGAGCGTCAAAGAGACCACAAGCAATTCTATATTGGAAAATCGGCGGATACCTTTTGTCCAATGGTACGTAATATTTACTCCGTCTTAACTCGAGTCAATGACTGATACCTTGGTCTCAGGGTCCAATTGCAGTGCCCGCAAACAAGCTCCCGGAATCTCTTCGAGTTCAAACACATGTCAATGGAGAGCAACGTCAAAGCGCTACTATTGAAAGCCTTATATTCTCGATTCCAGTCCTAATTAAAACTCTTTCCGAGGGACAAACTTTGCAGCCAGGTGATGTCATTGCGACTGGTACTCCTGCAGGTGTTGGTATTGGCAAGAAGCCTCCAATTTTCCTGAAACCAGGAGATGTGGTTGAGGTATCCATCAATGGGCTTGGAGTACTTCGGAACAAGATTGGAGAATCTCAATCCACAAATCAGACTGTTGATCGTGTGGCCAAAGCTACCCATATCCCCATCAACAACCTTGAAAAGACATGCGGTGGTATTGGGCTTACAACAATCAATTCCAAACAATTGTACTATCGACATGCCGGCGAAGCTAATGGACCGCCCATTATCTTCATTCATGGTCTTGGTGGTTCTTCTGAGTTTTATACCCCATTAGTCAACGCACTAGGCTTGGAAAAGTCCCATTCTTTACATTTCATGGATCTTGAAGGCCACGGACTCTCTCCCACGATTGCGACTTCCTCCATTTCTATATCAAGTTACGCCGCAGACTTTGCAGCATTAGCACAGCATGCCAAAATCAGTGGAGTAACTATTGTAGCTCATAGTATGGGGTGTACTGTGGCGTTGAATTTAGCTCTGGAGCATCCCTCGCTTGTCTCAAGATTAATTCTCCTTGGTCCACCACCCACGCCCCTCCCTGAAGCTGTCCAAACCGGATCCATCTCTCGAGCGGAAATCGTAAGAGCAAATGGAATGGCTGCCGTGGTGGAAGCCATCGCAACCGCAGGCACGTCCACCAAATCCAAAACAGACAATCCTCTTGCAATAGCCGCGGTACGTATGTCCTTGCTAGGACAAGATCCTGAAGGGTATGCTAAGGGATGTACGGCTCTTGCTGGGTGGAGCGCGGCAGTCCCGATCGAACAGATCAAGACTTCGACCCTAATTGTTACAGGCGATGAGGATAAGGTATCGCCACCCCAGCTTTGCGAAAAATACGCGGCGGAAATCAAGGGTGCGAAAGTGATCACCCTGGGGGGAGTTGGCCATTGGCATATCTTTGAGGATCTGAGTGGTGTTGCAAAGGCAGTGTCATCATTCCTTGGATAGGCTCGAGGATGATACTAGCATTCTTTATCATAAACAATCTCACATTTTAATGCTGCAGTTCGACTTGCTCCGTTGGTCTCAAAGTTCCACCTAAACAACTGTACAATTTTCTTGATCCAATCGTGCGAATTTTGTGGAATTAGTCTGCTTTTCAAACGAGGAAATGTAACAGCATGAATACAATTGTAGGGATTAGAGCCAGTATGATGAGTATGACAATCGAGGTATGTAAATCATAGAGTCCGACTCAGACGTTACAGATATTACTGTTACCCTGCGTGCCTGACAGGGAACAACGAAAATTACCTGCTCAAGCTAAAAGAGCTAGTATGAAAAGAGTACCTATATATAATATATATATATATTGTGCAAAAATTCAATTTTCATGCCCTTAGGGGTATGGTCTGGCTCCATGGTAGTCTAGTCCTTTTTTGTCCCATCCCCACCTGACGCTAAAGTTAAGTACCGCATCGCACTGTATTATTAACAACCTCAAAACTCTCAACAAAGCAGTGCTTCTCGCTATCCTGGCAGCCTATCCCGCAATGAAGAAAATAGAGACTTTACTTCAATTGCAATCGGAACAACAATCCAATTGAGGTCGATCACCCACAGATTATGGAGCACTCCAACCAAGCTAGAATCCAAACTGTCCGTCCCCACAATGTCCGTCAGCCCGTCAGCTGTGAACCCTGTCGTCGCCGCAAGATTAAATGCTCGCGCACTCGCGCCCCCTGTGAGACATGTCGTCGACGAGGATGTGCAAGCAGCTGTTTTTACACAGGTTCTAGGGACTACACGCAGTATAATAATGATTCTACGTTCAACAAGGAGCTTCTAGACCGTGTTGCTAGTCTGGAGATGCAGCTTGAGAAGTATTCTGAGGCTAATATTGATGCGAGTTCAAATGCAATTGGCAAGCAGAAAGAAGACAGAGATGCGCAAAATACTATACTCTCTCCGCCTGAAGAACCCACAGCTGCAACTCCACAATACAATGCGATGCCTGAATCCACATCCTCGCGTTCGATGAGCTCCCAGCTAGAGAATTCGCCCCCTACCCCGCGAAATAAGGGAGTCTTAACTGCCCTGCCTAATGGGAATGTACATTACTCGCCCCAAATTTCACAATGGAACTCTGTACTTGTGAATACTAATCTTGCAATTGAATTGCCTTCTTTAGACGATGTGGATGATTCTCCTCCTGCTGATGTTGGATTTCCATTCTCCGCATCCACGTCCTCGATCTCAGTCGATGGGTTGCTGTCGATTTTGCCACCTACGCGTCAGTGCACGTATTTGAAGGACATGTACTTTTCGGTGTTGTCTCCTGTAAGCTTCACTTGATAATTGATACTGTAAACCTATCGGATTTTGAAATGGTTTTAACAAGATTTGTGAGACATAAATAGTTGTTCCACATCCTACACGACCCAACATTCCACTCCCAATACCAGCAATTTGTAGAGAATCCAGCTTCGAAATCGCCGTCCTGGCTAGCGATCTTGTTCGTCTTACTGGCCTTGGCTGTGAAAACCCTAGACGACAATGATCCTATCTTGCGCGACTTGGGACGTGGCGCAGATTCGTCCGCGGATATACGAGTATTGGGAAAGCGTTATCGAGAGAGGGCGATGCAATGTTTGGGGAAGCAGGGCGTGTTTTGAGGAAAGCACAATGTACAGTCACTTCAGGCGTTGATTTTGCTGGTCTATGCGATGAATCATAATCAAGAACCGACTTGGACCATTTTAGGTGAGTGCACTCCCAGCGCTCACAATCTGGTGAGATTTTGAGACGGGTGCTGAAATCAGATGCTGATGCACGTTTAGGCACTACATATCATGTAGCAATTGCCCTAGGCTGCCACGTCGATCCCTCAATTCTCCATCTCGACCTCATCCAAAGCGAAGAGCATCGTCGCTGCTGGGCCGGCCTAATGATGCTCTATACCATCCAAACTACCGCCCTCGGAAACACCGATTCTTTCTGGACGTGCAAAAACACCGTCCGTTTCCCCGCCGACGTAAACGATACCGACATCACCCTCACAGATATCCAAACTCCTTCCCCCGGTCCAACCCAAATGTCGTATCTACTCTTCAAATTCCAGCTATATGATCTCGCCAGCGCTATCTGTAGGGAAACATTCACTTCATCCATACCCAGCGCGCGTACGATTAAAGACCTCGACGCACAGATTTGTGCTGCGCAAGAACTTTGGGATAAGCGCTACGCATCGCATTCGTCACAAGCGCCAGTTCCCACACACCACGTTGTACATTTGCATATTCTGTACGGGTATTCGCACCAGCTTTTTCTGTTGCTGCACCGGCCTTTTTTTGCACAATCTTTGCAGGGGCTTGACCTAGAAGCGCCTAACGACTCCCAGGTTCGGTGCCTGGCAAGTGCCGAGGCCCTCCTAGACATTCACCGCACATTGGTAGAGACTCCCGCAAACAGGCCATATATGTGGTACACGCGAGGCCTGGGCAGCTTCCATGCATTTCATGCGGCAGTGGTGCTGGCGGTGGCGCTGTTGATGCCAGCTTATAGAGCGCAGTATGAGAGGTTCAAAGAAATGCTAGAGGGAGCGTTGGCAAGGTTTGTGGGAATGAGTGCGAGGAGTCGTGTATGTGAGAGAGGAGCGAGGATCCTGGAGTTCTTGTTGTAAGTAGAGTTTGAGCGTTTGTCTTCATGTATAGATGAAGGGAACTGATTATAACGAAGGGCAATGCCGTCCCCGAATCGAATACCAATAGAAGTAGTGCAAGAACAGGAGTGGATTTCAACCCGCTTGAGAGGGTTTGCGACGAAGTTGCAGGCTGAAAAGTGGCTGGGACCAGAGAGTATGGATTGGGTGAGTGTGATGATTTTTGTGTGGTTAGTTGAGAATGCGTACTGATATTTGCTTCCTAGGATGGATGGGGTGAACTTATGACGGATGTAGTAGTCGTGGAATGAAGTTTATGCTTATAGTACCATAAGAAGTCTATTCAAAAGCAAGATAAGTATCGTGGTTCGAGAGATGGTTGGAGCAATGGGGATTATACTTTGTGCTTCCGGGAAACAACATGTCATCTGGATTCTCGGACCCAATTGCAATCTGGAGCGAGAAGTCGGACAGAAGAAGAAAGAACTAGAATAAAGTCAGTGATGAATTGAGGTTTCATTAACATCCCTACGTTGAGATCCCCTATGATTCATCGTGTTTTGCTTTTGAGTGAACTGGTGCTGGATTTGTTTTCTACATTCACGATGTGACGAGGCGATGAAAAGGGGAATATGTTGTACAAGTATCTGAGATGGAACACCCTCGATAGAATATATAGAATGAGTGTTCATTTCCTCTTCTTATAGGGGGATATCCTCCAAGCCTCCGGACCCACTTCGTTCGAATCTATGAGATCTCCTACATCTTCTTTCCCTACTCTGTTCATACAACTAATTGATGTATCCTTTGATACACACCAAATTCGAATTACACGTTCACTTCTAAATCTTTGATAGGCTCCTTCATCTGGGAAAATGTCGTTTTGAGGTCCCGAAATGGTCTATATCAAGAAATCTTTCAGATAATAGTCCATTCAAAAAAGGAGTACACCGAGATTGCCCCTAATCTTCTAAAATAAGCTTCTACTTAGGTACCTAGTAGTGTGAGCTCTATCGAATGAGGTCAGATAATAAGGATACACCCTATTCGAAACTAATAGGATTCTATGATAAGCATAACCATTAATTATGGCATTTGATTATATGTTACATTTTGAACAAGGCTCACACTCATAGATGGTGCTCACGCACTTTCGTCATGTGATATCATGCTTTACCGAAGCACATGACACTAAACCCTCAAAGCTAGCCTGAAGGATTCATGTAGTATCGCTATTAATCGCTCACCATATCCTTTCTCTATATATTCCAACTTTAGAACCTAGCATGCAAAATGCCTCCCAAACGCAAACCTTCCTCCCCAAACCCTCCTATCCGTCCCCCTTGCACTCACCCCCACCTTCTCACCACCTCGCACCCCGCAGCACAATTTCCCCGTGTCTCTGCATCGCGTCGCGCAGCCGCCGCGACAGCTACCGGGATCCATAAAACTGGTATCACAGATACGTATCTCCATGATTTCGCATCGGATATAGAATTCGCATCTACATACCCTGCCCCCTTGGTGCTGAAAGGCGATGCGTTAGAGAGTGATGCGAAGGAGGCTGGTCAAACTTTTAGGGGATGGGAGAGAGGGAAACATAGAAATGCGGTTCCGAGGGTGGAGGATGGGGGGAAGCGGATAATTTACGTCGTGGGGCCGCCGGGGATGGATGGTGAGGAGATAGAGAAATTTATGAAGGGGTGGGAGGAGTGCGAGGTTGAGCATAGTGAGAATAGAGCAGGGGGTAAGGGTGTCGAGAATGAGAAAATGGAGTTGGATAGTTGGATGCTAGATGTTGTTTCGTATCTCCAAGCATTCTATCACGGTCTCCCAGTTAAACAAATGGATTCGTCACTCCTGAGTTTTACACCATGGGAGGAAGCCTCTTCACCCTCAACATCCAAATCCAAACCCACATCCAGAGCCACCTCCAAAAAGAACCCACCCAACTACATAGGCCTCCGCACCTCAACTTTCAAAACCGGTATCCGCTACCGCTCCACCCCATCCTCCCCTTTCACCCACCAGCTAAATCTTTCCGATCTCCTTGATCTCGCGATCGACATTCTACCCTCTGACGCATACGCATTACTTTTGCTCGTGAACCATGATTTATACGAAGACGACGACGACGAATTTGTATGTGGGAGAGCGTACGGCGGAAGCAGAGTAGCTGTTGTGAGTACTGCGCGCTACAGACCCGATCTAGATGCTGTGCAGGAAATCGAGAGAATTCATGCTTGGCCGGGGAGTCACTGCGTCGAATATATGAACGAGACGTGTGGTATTAAGAAGGGGAAACGAAAGAGAGAAAAATTCGATGAACATGAAGATAAAGAATATGCATCCGCGAGAAGTCCCTTGGTACGCGCAGTAACTCGACAGAATAATCTGACTCCACTATCTCCCTCTCCCACCGTTCCTGAAGATGCGCTCAAAGGTCTATTTCTCAGTCGCATATGTCGCACTGGGTCTCACGAGCTGGGCCATTGTTTTGGAATCGCACATTGTCCTTATTATGCTTATTGTATGCAAGGGAGCGCGTCGATTCAGGAAGATGCGAGACAGCCCCCGTATTTGTGTCCGGTGGATTTGAAGAAAGTGGTTACGGCAACGGGGGCAGATGTTAGAGAGAGGTATGAGGCGTTGTTGGGATTCTGTGAGAGGTATGGGAGTGCGCATATGTTTGTGGCGTTTGGAGAGTGGATTCGAGGAAGGTTGGAGCAGATCGAGAGAGTAGAGAGGAGTGGGATGTTGGAATGAGGCTATAAAATCGCATGTGGATGACATGATTTCCGTCATTCCTTGATACTTTACATTATTCTCCATTATTTTGGTACGATAAAAGCTGTTTCATTTCCATGTCACATCGATTTATCATTGCAAGATGTTTTAGGGGTATAAAAATCTGATATTTCTAGGTAGCCGCGGGTATACTTGGTCCTTCAAGGACTTTCCACCCGGTCAATTCAAAACTATCGCTAATGTGCTATCTCAAGCTTCCGGAGCTATTGCATCCCATACACTGATATCTTGCAGTTCCAATTCAAAATTCCAACCCGTTTGAAGCATGCCAGCATTATTCTTCAAACTATAAAGAGTACTACCATTCCCACCCATCACCTTAAATTTCCCTTCTTTCATCATGGCGAGCCTCCTAGTCCTGCAATCTCATTAGTAACCGTTTCAACTCGGCAGACAAAAACGGAAGAGACAAAAGCAACGAGAATAATTGAAAGAAAATGAGAACTTACCAGCAGCCATAGCCAGATACCACGTACGACTAGCTCCTCCATCCAACCAACTAGCATCAAATCCTGCCTGCGCAAAGAATTTCCACGACGCTCGAGGATCAATAATCGCCAAATTAGCATACAAAACTCCCTTCCAGCCACCAACCACGCTATCAGCTCTCCCATTTGAAAAGTAAGTATTCCATTCTTCCGTAACAAATTCCTCTGTTCTCACAAGTGTTGAATGTGGAAGCAGTGGAAGCATATGAATTCCCTGAACCAACTCTGGAGCTGCCCCAAAGTAGGTGACATGATCGAGTTTGTTTTCGAAGAGGATACCCGATACTTTGTTGCCGATATAATTGGATGGTTGAACCGTATTTGTAGATTCGTAGAGGAAGTAGTTTTGTAAGGATCGGGCAGTAACAGCCAGTTGTAAATTTCCTCTCGCTTCCATATTTGAGTCTCCTATTGTGCGGCCCCACATCTTGATAGCGTAGGCCGACAAAGTATCTTCAGATGAAGATTCTTCATCTTTACCATCAGCCGTTTCATAGAGACCGTGAGCCCAAGAGTGCCCGTGGTACCAATCGAAGTTACGGGAAACGGGGAAAAAGCTATCCTTGGGTGAAGGATTGGCATAATCTCGTACCATCGTATTTATGTATGCTTTGTTGCTTGCTATCCAAGTTGGATCTAGGTATCCAATAATAGCAGCTGCGTATACGAAATATGAATAATGGAAATGGTGGTCGTTATAATACGTGTTTCCAAAATCAACACCTGAATCTCCAGTTGTGTATGATGCACTAGAGACGATTCCTCCCCAGGCAGCTGATTTGAATTAGCCCGAGCCATGTTGATTTAGGGTACATAGAACTTACATTCATATACCAAGGGATATTGTTGCTGATTGTCAATAAAACGTGCGAAGTTGAGCTTTAGTTTGTTAAGACCTGCTTGTGCCAAAGCTGCATCTCCGACGAAATCATGAAGTGTATATACAATCTGCGCGAATTTGGCAAGTGCCTGTACAATGTTAATGGGATATCTTTTGATCGGTGGATGATACATACCTTTCCACTATAATACATGGAATTTAAGTTCGTTTGATCCGTCATATTTTGCGAAATCTCACTAGCAGCGATATTTGCAATGATAGACTTGGCAGCCGCAGAAAGCGAGTTCGAGCTTCCTTTCGTCGGACTCCAGGGTGCAAAGTTCATACTTACTGGTAAATCCTCCTCCATTGTCCAGGAGTCAGCAACGATAGCCGTCGCCGTGCCCTTGGTTGTTGTCGCTAATTGCACTCCATTGGTTACACAGCAAAGCGTGGCATCATCAAAGGATTCTAAGTGATGCGGCAAAGCAAACATTGCCAAAGTGGTATCGCTCAATCCCGCCTTGTTGAATGAAAGTGTATAAGAACCAACTGCATCACTTACATGACCCGAAACGCTCGCAGAAATTGGATAAGCACCGCATGCTTCATCGAACATAGCTTCATGTGCAGCACTTGCACTTTTTGCAATTTGGATGATTCCATTAAAGCCACTAGTAGCCTGAACTAGCCCATTGCTCACGGCTGTGAGTGTGAGGTTTTGTCCAGAGGGTGAATAGGCATATAAAAACCATGTCTTTCCATCTTCAAGTAGCATGGAGTACTTCGTGATTCCTCGCTTTGGGGGGGTGGGGTCTAGAGTCAACGTTCGGAAAAAGATGCCACTTTGTAAGATCGGGGTAGCACCTGCAAAAACAGCTGTCACAAAGCCCATTCCTTGAACCAAAGGAAATGTGATAGCAGGGGCGGCACCGGGAGTAGGATTTAAGTTGACATTAACCGAAAGATCGGTCAGAGAGTCGGTCGTCAAAGTTGTTGATGAGCCTAGTTCTGCCGCCGAAAGAACCAATGATTGTAATCCAGTTGGGTTTAAGAAATATGAAGCAGAATTTACTGTATTGTTCGGTCCAAATACTCTCTGATTGGCATCTATATGGACGAGGGTCATTCCCCAGCTCTTGGTGGCACCGCCTCCTTTTGACCAAGCAAGTGAGTATGGATGAGTCCAGGTGGGAGATGTTTGACTTCCTATCAATCATTAGTTTGCATTCTAGAAGCCGCTTGAAAATAATATTCATCGAAGATATCATTTTTCCAATTCCACAAAGGAGATTACATACCGAGAAAGAAATTAGCGTAAAACTTGTTAGTATCAAGTGGTGCACTTTGTTGTTTGATTCCTAGCCGAGGTACTGGATGATCTGAGCGAGAGCCTAGATTGGACGGAGGAGGTGAGGTGTCGATTGGCTGGAAGATATTGGCATCTGCTGCAACGGTATTTATTTTGAAATTGACTGGTGTTGGAGCAACAGGGGCTATCTGAGTTGTGGGTGAAGAGATGGATGATGTAATTATGGGAGGGTTGGTAGCGTGGCCAGATGTTTCGAGGCTGGAAATAACTGATCCTGTTGTGTCGAAAGAACCGGCCGTCGGGGAGGGTAGAACTTGCACTGTTACCTGCACAGTGCCGGAGATTGAGGAAGTGGTCAGCACGGAGACGGATGGAATGACCGTCGTCGTTTTTATGGAAGAACTTAGAATCGCACCCGGCGATGAAAGAAATAGGAATCCATCTGAAGAAGTTTCGTCCCGGAGAAGAGACTTGGGTTGAACAGTATGTATGTTTTTTGTGATTAGCGAGGTATGGTCGCCTTGTCCTTGAGGAAAAGGTGCACCGCTCACAATTGAGGCGAGTATATGGGGAACAAGAAATCTGATAGTTTGCTTCATACTTGAAACTTGTAAACTACCAAAACACTAGGAAGAGTGTAAGTAGATCGATGGAAAAGGAAAATAAGGTGGTAAGAATGAAGGGTTCTTAAGTGATTTCTCGACCTCTGTCAAATGATATAACTAGAGTGTAATTTGAAGTCTAATTTAAGTATATCATTCACTTCTTCTTCTCAACATCACTGGCAAATTGAACGTGCTTGTAAAATGAGGAGAGGGTTCCCATCTAGGTATGATTGTTATTATTTTAGATAACAACAATTAAGATTCTAGGAGGTGATAGGATAATAATTCGAACGTGAGTAATTCAATAGGTTTGTGTCAGAATAGCAATCACCGAGCACGCTGGATGCGATTTGGCAAAAATTCAATACTTGTGGAATGACGAGAAAGTTCGGCATCATGAAGCTCGAGGAAGGTACATTCGGCCCGTTGTGTATCATCAGATTTATACTACTGACGGGCGTCCTGTCAATCGACGTCAGTATAGTAGTGTGATACATCACTACTTGTATGATGTATGATCATCATGGAAATAAGATTGAGATATCAAAAGGGGGATATTTTGGTGATTGAAGGAGGCGTGTTGGTCGCGTGTCTGGAAAACGGTCAGAATGTCTTGGGGCCGGGAATTTTGTCGAAGAAAGTCGAGTTGAGTCAAGGAATGCAAAATCTTACACCTTGACTTTTCCATAAACCTCGAGAATTTCGGAGATAAATAAAAGTAAAAATAAGAGAAGAACAACATATTTTGCAATCGTTTTCTAACAATCCTCGATAAGTATCAGATGAGCGCGACTTTGTGATCATCTTTCTTGAACTAATCAATTGTGTCATTGGAAGCTCCAAGAAAATGTCTTACTTCTAGGGCTCAGGTGCATGCATGGTATGTATAACATGTGTGACTATATTAGTATGATGAATATCTCTTGAAACTTTTCATAGAGATACAATTATGAATATAAACCCAAACATTAAGGATATATGATATATACTGACGAATACTCGGAACGAAAATGACGAATAGACATCGAAATTCAACCCCCTTGATAAGAATGCTGAGTACACAGGTAAGTAGCTTGTTAACACTTCAATGTTTTGCGATTTACATTTGACCTTAACCTTAGGCCAGCCTCCTGTCTTCTCACTTCGGCCTGATCCAATTCAAATCATTCCTAAACTGTAAAGTTCGCTGTACTATGTCGCGGGTTTGGGAGAATATGGAAATATATTGATATCTTTTGAAAAGAAATGATATTGTCAATTGTTTTTCAAACAATTTGCCCGTGTCGCCTGTGCAAAACCAATGAATTGCCAAGAGAGGGGAAATGGTCACGTGATACAAAGCAAAATACTAATCATCTGAAAGATGGCACGTGGGTAGTAGATATACTCGAGTCGAGGTATAGTGATAGATATGAACATATATGAATGATTGATGTACCATCTATTATCTGGGAATAACATTTTCATCTCTCCATGGCTTGTTGGTTTGCTCCTGATCGAAGAGTTAAATTTTCTGGTACTTCGTATCAAAAAATCAGTAGAGCGAGTAGAAGTCAAGTGATTTGTTTGGCTTAACTTTAATTGTTGGAGCTCGTGATCTGAATTTTTATACTTAGCTATGGAGTGGCACTGGTATTCGCCGGACAATAAAACCTACAGTATCATCTTCGGTATGTGAAAGATAATGAGTATTTTCTTGACTGCATCCATGCCTTAATATTTGCTGCTACGTGAATAAGGTTATTTGAGAGTAATAAGTTCAGCTCTCTCTTATTGTAAGGTCCCCAACAAGATCCACAAGTAATGAATGATATTTATGCTGATATCCCACAGCACAATGAGTTGACCAGAAATATTCCCTGAGACTTTTGAGAGAACGAAAATACTCACATAGTCACTTATCAAAGGGATATGTAAAGCTTCGTTATACTGCTAAATGTAGTGCTGAAACAAGGACCTTTGCAAAAGAGACATTCTATGAACTAGAACTTGCCAAGATAACAACCCTTCTTCGCTTTCTATGTAACCGAGTTGCTATTTAACAACTCTTTGTGGCATATTAAGGGGACTGTCTCCGTTCTAGAAAAGGTAGCCAATTTTCAGTAGTTGTCATTCAATCACATCAATAAATACGCCTTGTACTATGCCTACGAGTATGTTTCACTAGACTTGCCAGTAGCAAACCGATGCGGAATTTCAATTGTGAATACATGACCTTTCCAACATATGCAATTTCTCCAGGCTAATAATGTAGCCCATTCCTACTATCACTTTACCAAGGCAAGACACCGCCATCGTACTGGTTGATCCCCTCCTTCTTTTCCCAGCCTGCTACTCGGATATTCAAAAATTTGCCATTCGACTCTTTTCCATTTGACTCGATAAGTTCAACAACAGCCTTTGCGCCAGTTTCTACATCGAGATCTGCAGAAGTGCCTCCTAGATCAGTTCGAAGCCACTGATCGCTCAAGTTAGTCAATCTCTGAATTGGAGTCTACATTCGTTCAAGGGGATCTCGAGCAGTATAAAATGCAGCACCAAACTTACACCAGGATTAACTGCAAGAAAAGTACACCCGTCATCGGATCGGCATAAGACTGTGTATACTGAACTGTAAGAATGTTCAAGGCGGCCTTCGAAACTTTGTAGGCTGGGATTGCCATGGTACTGTAAACAGGGGACCGCTCGATTGATCCACCACTGCTGCTCCTGAGTTCCATTATCAGAATCAGCTTTCAAGCGCGGAATACGTTGACTACTAACATGTTGATGACTTTCTTCTGAGCGCCCTGCTTTAAGAGGGGAAGAAATGTGCTGGTGACGATATGAGCGCTTGTGACATTCGAATTGAGTACGGAATCAAGATCGTCCCTAAGGAACCAAGGAGTCAGCATCTCAAAACAGATTTTGTGAAAGAAGTGAAATAATCTGTATGAGACTTACATGGCATGTATTCCAGCGGTCATTCAATTTATTACTGCAGCATTATTGATTAAAACATCAATACCTTTGCCATCCAAGAGAGCAGCAACCTGCTTCTCCGCTTCTTGTACACTCGATCTACTGGTGGCATCAAGCTTTATGTACTTGACAGTGCTTGGAGATGACTTTATCAATTCTTCAAGGGCAGGAGTGGGATCGCCTCGAGCAGTTGCAAAGACCAGATGACCAGCCTTCGAGAACTCGGCAGCAAGAGCCAAGCCTAGCCCTCGAGAGCATCCTGTTGTGAGAGTCGTTGCCACCATTTTTTGGAACTGATTATCGAGATGAAGTGCCGTGCTGCGTTTACTTTGCAGTGGAGAAGGTCTCGTTCTGTTAACTACGTCATTACCTTTCGCGCTTGTGACGCGATGTAACGCTGATTCCAATGCCTCTTGAACTGCTTAAATTAGATGCTGTGCGACATTTTAATCCCGGCGCACCCCAAGATTACGGAACGGTCATTTCACCCCGCGTGAAGCAGGTGTGCGATATTGGAGTAACCACGTTTGCGCTGGTGTAGATGAGAGTTTGATGAGAGATGCTGTTGTGACATTTTCTGAATTTTTTGGCAAGCGGATTAGATTTCGGTGCTTTGAATCAAGAAAATATCCCTATGAGATACCCTGAAAACATTCGCCCACCAAAAAGCGAGTTCTACACCGATAAAAGTCGTTGTCAATTTCTACGGATGTACAAACTGAGTTAGAAACTAAGTTAGCTGGTACGAAAATGGGACGCATGTATAAGTCTTTATAACGTGTTGTAATAATGGCAAGTTTCTGACTCAAATTTGATAGATACATCGATAACAGGGTCGATCTACATTCGTCGCCGACGGGATTTGAGTTGCCAATTGCTCTTCACACGATCCCAAGATATCAAATGTCTGTCAGTGGTGGTCGCTAGGATCAGTTGCAATAGTAGTAGTACAAGAGAAGCAAGGATGTAATATCAGACTTTGGAGTTGCACAATGGATGTTGATTTAATGATTTGGGAAAAATTATAGTATTAGATTGCAGTACGAGTAGAAGACCGCGAGGTCTTATTGAGGAAAGTATACAATGTTGAGAAATAAAATCCGACAGGGGGGAGACCAATCTCCCTTGGAACGCCTCCATATTGCAAGCATGTTGAGGGATGAATTTGGAGACATAATTGTACTTCAACCAAAAAGAAGACATTCAATGAACTTCAAGTACCTGGGTAACTCCTTGGTTTAGCACCCCCAGAAGACAAACAAGTTGATACTGAATTCATGTTCCACTGAGAACCTTAGCGTATCTCACAAGTAGTTCGGCTTGAAAAACAAAGTAAGATTTCGTGAACACGTCCTGCATTAAGGTAGATCTCGACAATGAAAGCACATATACAAAGATAACACCGCATACCAATCACGGCCTTCGTTACAATAACCAACGAATAACTTGGCTGCTCAATTTGAGCTAGCCAGTATTATCAAGTATGTCCACTCAACAGTATACGCCCGATTTTCAAACACTATGAACACGCGCGACTTTATCTCACGCTCCAGGTTTCAATCCGAGGGGTATGATATTCATGTTATCGTTTTGATACATTTTTTGATACAATTGTCAACGCCATTTTCCCGTAAACCCTATGAATATTTAGTAAAAGGACCTGCAGAAGTAGAAAATCACCCTTACCAATTCACACCAATTATTTATGTCATCCCATCCGAAATATCCTTCCACTTCCGCAGGTATGCTTCTCCACTGAAAGCACCTTTGGGGTCATTTTCGAATCTTCCTCTCGGCGGCAATATCTTTTTTGTGACGAATGGTGTAAGCTAAATCGCAGTCAGCACCGCGTGAAGCATCCCAGATTGATCTCTGCGAATTCTTACTTTACACTCCTTAAGATTTGGCGGCACAACGTATGTCCTGACTTTATCCCACTCGATTATATACCCTCCATGTTGTGTATGTCGACCCGTTGAACCACTTCCAGTACCCTTGTAAAACCCTTTATTTGCTTTCTTCGTACTCAGGGCATGTCGGGCTACCCGTTTCATTAGGCATTGTGTGGGCTGCATGATTGCGATTGATGTTAGAAGTTTATTTTGGATTTTGCACACTCGAGATGCTTCTCCAAAATTGTCGTAGACACTAAGGTTCGTCCGGCGGCCGCATTATCCGATCTCTAGCTACCTAATTAGGTCACCGCCTTTCTATATTAGCAGAAAAAAAGTTTCCCGATAAAATTGATAAAAGATAATCAACGCTTCTTAGTAAAATATTGCGACAATAATTTTAAAGCGCAATCATGCCTGGAAGACAATCGCATGGCAGATCGCTGTTGAAGCAGCCCAAAGTTCGAACAAAATCGAAGAATAAGACTATCGATGCATTTTCTGCCGCTCAGCAACAAATTGGTGAACGCCATCGAGTAAGACAAAGTCAATTGGGTCACGCTGAAGGCGGTAATAGACCTGGGAAGCGAGATAGAGATGAAGATGACGAAGATGAGGGAGAAGACGAAGAGTTCAGTGCGAAAAAACAAAAAAAGGGGCCAGCAAAAGGTCGATTCGATGAGCTAGATATCGACGAGGGTAGTGATAGTGAAGGGAACACATGGAAAATGGGTGTGGTGGACAGCGATGACGATAGCGATATTGACAGTGACGAAGCTTTTGGAGAGAGTGACGAGGAAAGATTCGAAGGATATGCGTTTTCGGGGAGCTCGAGTAATAACAAGAGCTCCAAGAAGCGTGTGCCGCAAAATAAAGAATTGAACTTGGATGAGGATGATCATGGGGAGGACTCCGGATCAGAATTGGAGGAAGGTGATTTAGGAGAGGGGGCTGTCGATCTCGCAGATATGTTAGATGCTTCGACAGACGATGAGGATGAAGCCGACGTCGAAGGCTCAGACCAATCCGGCTTTGAGGACGAAGACGAAGAAAGCGACGAAGATTCTTCCGCATCATCTGCCGATGACGAAGATGAAGATGATTCTATGGATCCGTCGAAACATGCGGCACTACAGGATTTAATTGCGAATCTTCCACTCAATGAAAAAGCCCTCGCCAAACGACGGAATGATGGCGTGAGCGAATATGCTACCCCCGGAAACTTTGGTCTCCCATCGACAAAAGAATTCATCACAGACCTTGGCGCAAGCAAGATCAACGATCGTTCAATCAAAAAGGCTCTCAAGTCTGAAAAGGGCGATGACAAAAAAAAGGCTGCTAGCACCTTAGAAGTACCTCTCGCAAGGCGTCAACAAGACCGACTCGATCGCAGTGTAGCGTATGACAAGAGTAAAGAAACATTGGATAGATGGACAGACACGGTAAAACATAATCGACGAGCAGACCACTTGGTTTTCCCCTTGGCAGATCCAGATGCGGATTCTGCACGCGCAAATACTCGACTTCAATCTACAGCACAATCCAAGCCATTCAATGAACTTGAGGCCACGATCCAGAGCATTCTTGAGGAGAGTGGGCTTGCCACTGCCGGTGGAAGAGATGACGAAGACAAAATCCGAGAGTTTGAGGAATTGGAAATGAACAAACTATCCATGGAGGAAGTGAAAGCTCGCAGAGATCAATTACGAATGGCTCGAGAGCTCCTTTACCGAGAGGAGCTTAAGGCGAAGCGAGTGAAGAAAATCAAGAGCAAGTCTTATCGGAAAGTCCATCGAAAGCAACGTGAAAGAGAAGAGGCGAAAAACAAAGCAGCTCTTGAAGAGGGCGGTTTTGTTCCTTCTGAAGATGAGCTTGAGGCTCAGGACAGAAGACGTGCGACTGAGAGAATGGGAGCAAAGCACCGAAATAGCAAATGGGCCAAAGCCACAAAAGCTACGGGTCGAGCGGCATGGGATGAAGATGCTAGGGACGGTATCACTGAAATGGCTCGAAGAGAGGAGGAATTGCGAAAGAGAGTAGAAGGAAGAACGGTGAGAAAAGAGTTTGAAGACGACTCGGATGAATCCATGGACGATTCTGACGATAATATGAGCGATGACGACGAAGGAACGGAGCAGAAACGACTTCTCAGACGCCTGGAAAGGGCAGGAAAAGACGATATTATTGATGACTCCGCCCCAGGAGCAAAGTTGGCAAATATGAAGTTTATGCGGAATGCCGAAGAATCTCGCAAGAAGGCAAATGATGCTATGGTGGAGGAAATGAGAAAGGAACTCGCAGGGGAAGAAAGCTCTAGTGAAGAGGAAGAAGATGGCGATGTTGGGCGTAGAACATTTGGGCCTGGATCCAAAGCTAAAGATGCTCCGGCAAAACCACAAAACTTGAATGAATTCGAAGAACCTGCAGACTCGGAGGATCAGGACGACATGGATGTAGAATTCACAGGGGTTGATAATGGTCCTAAAGCAAGTGCCAGTGCACCGAAGGCAAAGAAGACGAACGGCCAGAGCGGAGGTGTTGGAAAGTCATCTGTCGCAGAACCGGAGGTGGCTACTGAAGGTGGAGCTTGGTCAAAAGTACCTCTGAAATCGGGCATGGTCAGCAAAAAGGAGGCGAACAAACGCAGACATAAGAGCAACAGTACTATGGATGTCGAAGAGCTTGATTTGTCACAAGCTGCTGTAATGGCCAAGCAACCCAAATCCAAGAAGGCTAAGTCAAAGACAGCCCAGATTCTCGAGGCTTCTGATGAAGATAGTGAGGATGATGGCGCTATTCATCTTCCATTCGCAATCAAAGACCAAGAGCTTATTAAGCGTGCATTCGCTGGAGCCGATGTCGTCGGTGATTTTGAAGCGGAGAAAAAGCAGACCATCGAGGATGAGGACGAGAAAGTCATCGATAACACCATACCCGGTTGGGGAAGTTGGGTAGGAGACGGCGTGAGCAAAAGAGAAAAGGCAAAGAACAAGGGAAGATTCCTTACTAAGTCTGAGGGTATCAAGGAGCAGAATAGGAAAGATGCAAAGCTTGACCGCGTTATCATCAACGAAAAACGTGTCAAGAAGGTACGTAGAATACAGCTCTTCCTTTCTTTTGCAGCTACTAACGAAAACTTTAGAATGGTAAATACTATGCATCACAATTACCTCATCCTTTCGAAAACCGCCAACAATACGAGCGCTCATTGCGATTGCCAGTTGGTCCGGAATGGGCTACTAAAGAGACCTTCCAGGACTCGACCAAGCCGAGAGTTATGGTCAAACAAGGCATCATTGCTCCTATGTCCAAGCCTTTGTTGTAGATTAATATATGTAGATTTCAAAATCATCACAATTTTCGTTAAAACACGCAGTCATTGGCTATGCTTTCGTGCGCTATCATAAATCGTACATTGAGATAGTGTGTTAACTATTTATCTAGCTACCTCAAAAGTCATTTTAAACCCGTTTTCTAGCCTGACTTGATTTATGGATCTCGCAAATTTCGAAATCAGATCCAAACAATGAATACCTAGGTACTCAATATCCAAAAGAACCCTGACAAGAGTGACCCCTGATTACCCCTGCACCACCTTGACACAATTTTATACCAAGAGGCCCTTAACAATCTAATTCAGCCTTAGAATCGGGTCCCGTTAATTATTGCCAATATTTGGAAGGATTATGAGAATCACTCAACGTCACAGATGCAGGGTTTAAAATTTAGTGTTGATTAGCGTCGACTATCTGTCTGATTTTTAGGCTACGACGCCCCATGAAAGATTTCACAGAGCGTAGTGAATCTACCTATCTTTAAGCTCTAGTTAAGCGGTGAGGAAAGGGGCTGGCATATTCGTAAGCGCTCCCATTAGAATTGAGTAGTTGAGACAAACGCGGATTTTGCAACAATCACGTCACTTGTACTCGAAGTTACTGTAGGCATTCGGAGGCGTTCATTATAGTCACTATTGTGTTAAGACTGCGAATTCAGGAGAGATATAGCTCTTAATGACTACCTAGGTACCTAATGCTGGGTAGCTAGTGTATATATAGGACAGTGAATGCTTTTCACCAAAATTATCACTGAGGTTCAGATAGCAATAATACATAGCACGCAGCAAATTTAGAATAGCAAATGATGTTAAATAATGGAAAATTTCGTTATGGTATCTTATTTTGTCTATCCAATAATCCGGGTTATGGCAACTGTAATGATATTACAACACCACCCAATATACCCTCATTTTCATTCTCATTAACAAGGCCATTCTATTAGGCCTTGAAGACAGGTCTAATTCTCTTGGCATGATCGTTTGACCTGCTTCATGTGCTTGAGGAACTTGTGATATCCAAATTTCCATCGTCAATGAGCTGCCATAAGCAGGTCTGATCATAGGAGGTGGAGCTCCACACACTCTAATAATGATGTCAAGACCACAGATGTCTCAATGTTAGGAACAGCGGTTCACTTCTGTCCATCCGTGACCTATGTAATTCTCTTGACCCAATAGCATAATTTGCAGTTTGGGAAACACATCTGCAAGTCTCATCCTTCTAAGTCTGTTGCGCGTTTGGCTTCTTCCTTTTTCTTCAACTTTTCTGCTCTTTCCTTCCTCCATCTTCCTCCGTGATACCACTCTAACATCAACAATGGACTGCACGCGAAAGTTATTCCAGCGAATATCAAAAATGTTACCCCAGAGCCTAATGCATCAACAATCGGCTGCACTACAGCCACACCAGCTGCTCCCAGCAAGCATCTAATGAGGTTGTTTACAGCGGTAGCGCTTGCCGATTTACCAGGATAAAGGTCGATGACCAAGGCGCTGTTGGAAGAGAAGACCGCAGTAGCCGTATATGCAATAAAGAATTGCAGAACCAGTGGAAGAGCAATAATTTCGAGTTTCAATGAGTAGCCGTAAAGAGCCGTGGTGATAACGAAAACAATAACAATCCACCAGATGTTCCTCATTCTTGCGACTTCGATAGGAAAATCCAGCAGTTCATTGGCCTTGATATGAATATCGGCCGGAATGTTTTGTTGTTTACGGTAACGAGATTCGACGACTTTGTAGTTGTAGTCCATGAGATAGCCTGTGAGGTAGGAACCGCTGATGCAACCGGCGCCATTTGGCAAGAAGATCAATCCGAGTTCCAAATTGGTGAGATCGAAGTGCTCTGAGAATAGGGCGGTGGTACTGGATGTTACCATGGACCAGACGGTGTAGATAATAGCACCGAAAAAAAGTGTAACGAAGACATCCTTTTCGATTAAGAACTTGAGAGGAGCGACGACTGAGGAAAATGTAACATTCTTCTTTGTGGGAAGTTCTTGGGAGGGGTATTCCGTGGATGGCTGTACATAGTACAAGGGTCGATGAATTCCCTTAAGGATGATAGAACCGTTCCCAGCCAGACTTTGAAGCGTTTCTGGAAGAACTACGACAATTAAGAGAAGAGCTAGTGCACCCAAGCCAAAAAGGAACCAGAAAATTGCGCGGAATCCCAGATACTGAGTTATGATTCCTCCGAAGACTGGGCCCACGGATTGTCCTAGCATTCTAATACCACCAAATATACCAATGAGACCTACACATATATTATTAGCGCCGAGTGATCAAGAATAGAAATCAGAAATAAGATTAATTTACCTCCACGTTCTTTAGGAGTTGTGATGTCACCAATGACTCCAGCACCTGTTCAGATCATCAGTCAAGTTCATCATGAACTTATAAGAGTTACTCACCAACAGCTATCGTTGCAGCACTACCGGCAGCTTGTATTGCGCGGAAGACCATGAGGGTCGCGAAGTTATCACTAAAAGCCAGACCGATATTCGAAGCGAGATATACGATAAATGTACCTAGAAAACATTAGACATATCCGTGTTTCGATCATCTACGAGCATACCCATAAACGTAATTCTCCTTCCTAATGTGAGATTGTATTAGCGTGATATCAAAAAGAGGTTTCCGTTAAGATTCATGAAGTGGGGGTCGCTACGAAGAGTACTATTTATAACGTAAGGAAGTACTAACCTTTTGTGTCACTGATTGGCCCCCAGAATGACGGAGCAAGTCCTTGAACAATCATATAAACCGTTACAGTTAGACTGACAAGTGAAAGAGAAACATTAAAATCCTAGACACTGTTAGACTAGGAGAGTACAAAATTATGGTATAGACTGTGTACATACCGTAGAAATCTCCTTTAAGGCTGGAAAATAGATGTTGCTTGATAAGGGAGAGAACAAGCCCGCAAGAGATACTATATACACAAGCTGTCTTTTCTTTGCCATAGAAAAGATGTGATAAGGCGGCTGTTCTAACTCTTGCTTCACAACATATACACTATTGGCGGAAGATGTGACGGCACTACTATCTAAATGTTCTTTGTCGTCGAAAAATTCAATAGATCTTTCTATGTCGCCTTCGAAGGAATCTCGATTTCTCGGGTGATTGGGCTCTATGATAAAAATGCCATTGGGTCGGCTCTCGAGAGATGCATTTATGGCTTCATCTCCTCGCTGGCTTGAAGTATTCAGATCTTCATGTTGAGAGCTCAAACTTTGTGACTGTTCTAGAACTCCGCGTGATTGATTGAAAGACGATGAAGGTTTGTCATCGATAACAGGGCCGGGGTTGACTGAATCCATATTCTAGATCTAGACTGTGATTGGAGAGTAAAGATACAGCTCGTCAAAAGGCTAATGTTTAGAAGAGATGGGTTGAAGGAACACAATGAGTCGAGCAAACCTAGGTAGAAGGGTCTTTCTCCATGTTTAATACTCATCTCTAGGAGAGCTGTGGATCACCTGGGGGACTGAAGGTGATTGCGCACAGTCATCTATCACATCAAGCATGCAAAGGTATATTCTCGCAGCCCACTTGACGGCACAGCCCTGAGGAAGATGAAGCATTGGTGGAGACAGGTGAGAAGGAAAATAGATGAGAATGAATCGAAACCTTGTGCTAACCGTTGATCCATCTCCTGTTACGGTGGAGTTGAGATTTTGTTTGGAAGTTAGCATGAAACAATGAAGTATCTGATAATCTAAAAGATAAGATACATGTTTAATGCAGTGTGCCCAGAGTTCGAGGAGTAGTTCGCCATCACACTAAAAGGGGTTCGAGAAGTCCACACAGAACGAAAACAGCAACCCTGATTAGGCAGGTATGGACATATAACAGCGGACTGAGCCGCTTGGCAGAGAAACACGGCCCTTCGCACAAGGTAGAATGCCAAATTGCTGAATCAGACTCGCAGGTGGAGAACATATAACAGTTTTCAATTCCTTGTCTCGAGAACTCTCGAAACGTGATTGGCAACAAGGAAATAGAAGACGAGCAGGTAAGATTAGAGTATTTCTTCTTCCTTCATCATAGCCAATGCGTCAAAGGACGGGAAAATCCAAGCTTGGTAATCTGTGCCTCGAGCACATCATGTCGTACCGAACAGCGAAAGACGGAGCAAAAACAACTGAAGCAAGTGTATTATAAAAATCTACGATTGGGTACGGAGAATAGAATATACTTCGGCAGTGAAATTTCTTTCTGGAAGGGCGTATGTCGTAACTGTCGTATAGGAGGGGATCGACAAGAGGCAAAAAGGTTTTTGATCAACATCATCTCCAACCTCCGAATAGCCTCAAGACATGTTGGGCGTTAGTTCAAAGAATTGCCAAGAAGAAGCATGGGCCCGGAAACAGATCCGGTAATGGACCGACGGTGCTAAAATAGACTACCGGTAGATCGTGCATTGCTCGATAACACATCAAGCCAAGCTCCCAACCAGAGTTGCCCAGAGAGATGAGATGATTGTTGATTGTTGCACATACATAGCTGGGCAGCTTGTGCAGACAATTTATTCCGGTATTTAAAATAAAGTGGCTCTTAATTGGGCGTTTGGGTCGCGGAATCTAACTAGAAGTGGCTAGTGCGTGTCTGAGACACATCCACTCTTCACTTCATGTGAAGATTAGGATCTTTGAAGATTTTCATTACGGTTGAAAAATACCTTATCACACCACCAACGTCATCAATATGGTCGTATTCATTTGAATATTGCATATATGTATGTAGCCAAGCTCTCTAGTGAGAGAATATACATCTTCGTCGGCCCCGAACGGCGACTGGTGACATTTATCTCACAATATTCTCATGCAGTCTTCGGAAGCCAAGAAACTCAACTTGATGAATTAACGAAGTTGCGCCGATACCTCTTTTTTCAGTTTTTCATGACGAAGAATGAATCTTCGGTCTGAAAATCTTCATCCTCAAGGTACTTGGGAGTAGATTCTATGGATCATATGTACTACTATTGCGATTGAGAACGGGTGATCGACCCTTCCCGAGGGTCTCCATGTTGAATCTTCGCACAGAGGAATATCTCAGCTGAACTTCGAAGTTTATTCCTAGATGAGATGGATACAAATGTTTGAGGCTGAGGTGGATCTCGAGTGGATTCCCTATCATCAATGTGAAGAGCGACAGCACTGGTCTATTTTCAGGGGTCTAGCAGTCTGAGAACCCTTTTTGTTTCCGAATTTCAAAAATTCATTCGAATCAATTTAATCATTCATATCTTTCAGAACTTCATATCGTTCAAATTGTCCACTCCCTTCGAACTTTGAACGCCCGGATTTAGGTCACCGGCCCGGAGTGGTTGAAAACCTATCTATTCCCGCTTCCAATCACCCCTTCATACTTGGATAGTACGCATTCGAGACAGGGATATACCTATACTTCAAGCACATATTCCATCTTATCTTTGTCTTTATCATTGGCATTTATTGCTCGTTCACGCTCCTGCATGTATGTATGGGATCAGTGGCGAAGTACTGTGTATTTGAAGCCTTTTGATCGACAGGTTCTTTGAAGTAAGAATTCTTGTATGATCATTAAATTTCGCACAGTACTTCAAACCAGATCGAAGAGGAAATTTGAGTCAGCAGCTATAATGATCCATCTATAAAGGACGCATAATGCTTGCGATGTGATCAAAAAACTTCTCTCATAAGCATATGCGCCCAAAATCTTGTGGATGTTGTTATCTGAATATGACAACAAATCATTCTCCGTATCTGGCTCTAAGTATACTTCTATTGTTTTGTAGAAAGCATACTTTGATGTGTTGGTTGAAGTTGGTGGATTTTGTGAGTAAGATGTACAGAAAAGATACAAAAAAAGTGCTGGGTAGTTAGAATCCGCATTCACAATATGCAACGACTACATCGAATAGCCAACGCAGTACTTTTAAACTCTCAAATAATCATTGGCGACACACAAGCCAAGCAAGAAATTTCTCACAGCAACTAAGATCCTCTGGTCTACAAAGAGATCGATTCCTCTTCTCCAAAGGACTTCGCGAATTCCAATTTATTGAACAGGTTTTCATGATTGAAGAACAAGCTGCATTTGTTAAACGTATCCACCTACCTATATTAAAGTTTCTGGCAGAGTGGCATTCTAAGCGGTATCAAAGTGGTACTGTACTATTATTCACTGTTATTCCCCATTTAAGGTTGTATGAATTTAACTCTAATTTATGGAGAAAGGTGCCAAGTGATAGCACTGCTACCTTGTTTGATTGCAGGTCCTCGGAAGATCCGAATCGGCCGGAGTGGAGGAGGAAGGAAGCCCTCTACTTTCAAGTATTCCGCCCCTACCTGGTACATAGCGGTCGTCAGCTCGAGGAGTTTTTAAATAGATTTTGGACGGCAGCCAAGATTTTGGACAGGGCAGAGAGTGCCCAGTCCTTTTATGACCAATTATCATACATATCATTATCTCTAAAAATCGGGCCCACAACCTCAAACCGGCGAAATTGAGGGGCCGCAATGTGATCGTTGTCTTGCGGAAAATCTAGGGATCAAACTGTTGCCGCCATCCACATCAAATGAAAGCCCTCGAATGCACATGGATAGAATAAGTTTACACTTAAAAACATCGGTAGGCATTTTGTGCAATAAGGAATGTTAAAACCAAGACTACCTTATGTGATCTAGAACGACGAGTTGCATGAGCGGGTACAGTATTCTCTGGGCATCGATCTTGCTTGTGATACGCATGTGAAAGCCACCTGGATGTCGAGGATCTTGGGGTGCAAAAGTGTTTTTTATTTGAACCGACACCATAAGCCGTCTCAATCAAGGCTATCTAATAGGCATGCTACTTATTTCTATCTGGAAACTGGATTATCGATACCAGGAACGGTAAAAATACGACTATGGGAAAATAAATTTCCTCGGTCTATAGGATTCTTCAAATGTTAGGAAAAACATAGACCCGGTGTTTATTCCTAGTCGCATTGTTAGAGTAAATATTAGCACGTAATGCAGGTCATAACATTGACCTCAGAATGTACAGCCTAGTTTCGGAACTCATGATGCTGAATGGATTCTGATAATCGATATGGAGAGATATGGAGTACTGTAGATTGCGGGTCGTTCAATGTAGGTAATATGCTAATGGGAGGGGGCGAGAAATCCCTGAAAGCCGTGGATTAGTATGACTTAGCAGAAGTACATAGAATACATAACACCATACTGAGTTCTTCCAGGAAGCAGAGAGATCAATTACATAAATCCTTTCCAGATGAGGACTGGAATGATTAATATCCAAGGACGATACTTTCCGGGTATCGCAGGTGGATGTGCGGACTCACAGAAAGCTCCAACATTGCACATAACCACATAGTTGCAACCATCATTACACACCGCAAGAAGCAATGAAAAGATTCAATGCATGCCAAGTAATTAGAGTACACAATTGAAACGAACCAAGTACAGACAGCAGGTCGAAATACAGTATCATGATTTTTGAGAAGTGGAAACAAGTCATGTACAGCCACCGTTGAACTCAAATTGACATAATGCCGTGGCAAGATTTCAGTGTGATGAGGGAAAATACAAGGGAGTAGAGGCGAGAAAATTTGATTATCGCAGTCTTCGGGCAACATACAGATGTCATTTTGTTAAACAGACAATTTGTCCAATATCACAAACGCAGTTTGAATCGAGAGACACAGTATTTTAGTCAGCAGATAATTCAATTCATAGGATCATCTCTGGGCCAGGCCATCCAACGCCTTTTATAGGCACGAGTATCATGAATTTTGGTGGCTTGTTTGAATTCGTTTAGGGTATGTACAGTGGTTGAACTAAAGTCTCTAGATGAATCTCTTCTCGAGCTGTTGAGTTGACGTTAGTATAAGTGAAACCTTCATGAAGAAGACTCTTTGAAGCCCAATGAAAAAACTTACTCTCCATGGGTTATTCAACTCGAATCCCAGAGGAGCACTTGGGTTGTCGGTTTGCCCTCGAAGGAATCCAGTCAACCTTCTATCGCGGTCCATCACTACACCGTAGTCAGCCTTATACATAATAGCGTAGAGTTCCGAGGATAGAGCTTACTTTGCTGCATGAACAGTTAGTTTTCTTCATCAATGTAAGATTAAGACGTGAGGTTACTCACTCTGTCCCAGGCATCTACAGAATGTCTGGCTCTCTTTCCACCATTTTGCAAAGCTCTAACTCCAGACATTCCAGCACCAGTAATACCGAACATCTGGGCCATACTCAGTATTGTAATCTTTGTAGTGGAAGGGTTGTGAAAATGGTAGAGGAACGAACGGCAAGCATGATTCCATATGGAAGGAGAGCTTCGAAAGGAACACCCATCGTGGCAATTTCGTAATTATCTACTAATACTTAATTAGCATTGTAACATTCATATAGCCTCGCAAATAATCTAGCACGTACCTTGTATTTGTTGTTGGCTTCTCAATTGGAGTGATAAGGCTTTTTGAGAGCCTCAGAATTGATTGACGATGTTGGTTTGCGCCAAACTGAAGTGAAATGATGACTAAGACTTCGCAGGCCGCCCGAACGACGACTTTGGGGTATTCATAACCCTTGAGAACGCAATAACAACACCGCACATGATTATCAATTCAAATCGAGCTTGATCTACGCGTCGGAAGGTCATATGCATACATATTTGAGACTCTGATAATTGTCTTTCGATGGAATTGGTTTAAAACATCGCGTTCACGTCTTCGAACTGCAGTATTCAATACCTAAATCACAACAATTCATCCAACAATTATCTGGGCAAGTTGCGCATGAGATAAGTTAATTTGGCTGGTACAGTACGTCCTTTGGCGTCTAATAAATTGAATCGGCGACAAAAATCGAATATTGTTTCATCTTCTACTTAGTTATCCGGCGGGGCGCAGAAGCAACGATTCCAAAGGCTACCCAACCGCCTAGGCCACATTCTCCTATATTCTTGACATCGACAAATATTCCTCTCGTGTCAATAAATCTACATCGCGCATGAAAACCAATTCATAAAGAATGGCGGGAGCGGCAGCAGCAGTGGTGCTCATGGACGGGGAGCCTTCCCGTAGCTTAGCTACTTCTGAAGATGATGCCGATTTCGAAGAGGATGACGACATGGTTCCCGACATGATCAATGAGGACGCGAATGCATATGCTGCTAATATTCAATTACAAAATGGGTTGATCGGAAATCACAGCGATCTGGAGGATGACAGAGAAGGACCGGAAAGAGAAGAGGGTATGTCAACAGATGAAGATGCAGACGGAGAGGAGGACGATGAAATGCTTGACGAGCCAGACAATATGGATCATACTGAGGAAGAAGAGGTAGATGAGAACCTAGAGCTGGGTGAAGGAGATGAGGATGACGACGATGCGGAGGGAGTTGGTGCTGTCAAAATCCAGCCTGGTTTAGAGGAAGACGATGATGAAGACGCAGATAGTGGCTCCGATAGCGACAGCTCCGTGGAAATAGAAGAAGACGATGACGAATCCAAGGACTCTAGTGATGTTGAGGAAGAAACACGATGGCAATCTAATGGGGAAGAAGGAGAAGAGGAAGAGGAAGAACACGTAAATCCGAATCGCTGCATGTATGTTTCCCTCCTTCTTCTCCACTTACAATTTTCAGTTTACTCATTCCTTCTTAGATTCTGCGAGCAAGATGAGGACGATGATCCGAGTGAAGAGTTCGAACTTTATTTGGCATGTGAGATGTGTGGAGACAATGGTAAGTTGACCCAGTATTTATGATCGGTAAAGCTGACAAATCTGTAGCGCATCGGCAATGCGCCCGAAATTCGAATGCACTCAAGTCTGACGAAGGTATGTACTGTTCCGCGACTTAGAGTTGGATGATGCAGCTAATATAGAATTTCAGAGGCGGAAAAATGGTATTGTCCGGGATGTCACGAAAACAGCCTCGTGCCTGGAAGTCCAAGTGCAGATATCGATATGCTTGAAGGCCCGGAGGAAGAAGATGCAGAGGAAGGCGACGAAGAGGTAGGTGATGAAGATGCGCCAATCAAAGCGGATGAAAGGAGAATTTCAAGGGACAGAGTTCCAGGGGATTTACTGCCGCCAAGACGTGGAACAATCAAATCAGATTCACACTCCGTCTTCGAACAACTCATACCACCAGAAGATCCCATGGATGGCTCACGTTTGTTGCGCAAGAGAAAAACTTCATCCGTGGAGGCTGATGAGGGACTGGTTTTGAGAAAAAGGACCCGTGATCGAGATGCACTTTCCGATAATTCTAAACCATCATTTGACGAACCACATGATGAAGCCAAAGTTGACAATGATAGCAGCTTATCATTGACTAATGGCAAAAGGAATAAGAAGAGGGTGGATACACCTACAAGCCCACGTGTTTCAAGGTCTTTACGTCAAAAGACCTCTTCATCCTCAGGCCCGCAAGTCACTATTATCGAGAAAATGCCTGGTACTCTCAAAATCTCCTTTCGCGTTGATCCTATGGAGCTGAGGCATATCCTCTCACTACCCCCTAAACCAAAAAAGAAACGCGGCGGTCGTGGCGTCCCAAAGGCTCGATCCGCAGCGATTTCTACCGCCCTCGTCCCCTCGAGTTACTCACAACCTTTCTACCCCTCCATCCACGAGAAAGAATTAGAAGAGCTGAAATCCAAACCTTACGGTGGTATTCTTTCCGAAGCTGATGCTGATACATCTTTGACACTACCTAGAGCAGAGCATCGACGTCAATTTGAAGATGCTCGTCAAATGGCTGAAGAGGATTGGAAAGCAAGGGCAGCGGCAGCGGCAGAAGCTGCTGCCAAAGCAGGATTGAGAAAGGCTCGCAAGGTGTCAGGTCCAGCCAGCCAAATTGAATATATTGATTTTGGGGCATTTCAGATCGATATCTGGTATGCTGCTCCATATCCAGAAGAATATAGCCGGAACAAAGCACTTTTTATATGTGAGTTCTGTTTGAAGTACATGGAGTCCGATATTGTTGCTTGGAGGCATAAGACCAAATGTCCATGGAAGCACCCTCCTGGCGACGAAATTTACCGAGATGGGAAGATCATGATTTTCGAAGTGGATGGCCGCAAGAACCCACTGTACTGCCAAAATCTCTGTCTCCTAGCAAAGCTCTTTCTCGGGTCGAAAACTCTTTACTATGATGTTGAGCCTTTCCTTTTCTATGTCATGACGGAATATGACGAATTGGGCTGTCATTTCGTGGGCTATTTTTCGAAGGAGAAGCGACCTAGCAGCCTCAACAATGTCTCATGTATCCTCGTACTGCCTATTCATCAACGGAAGGGATATGGTCACTTGCTCATCGACTTTTCGTATCTTCTCACTCGCGTCGAGAAGAAGACTGGCTCTCCTGAGAAGCCACTTTCGGATATGGGTCTCGTCTCTTACCGTAATTACTGGCGACTCGTTCTATGTTATTACTTACAAAGATTTCAGCCCTCTGAACGTATTCCAAGTATCAAGGCCATTTCTGACGAAATGGGTTTGACGCCAGACGATGTTATTTCGGGTCTTGATGCCATGGGCACCCTCGTCCGCGATCCCACAACTGGCACCTATGCTATGAAGTTGAAGCCGGACTACTACAAGGAGGTTATTCGCCATCATGAAGCAAAAGGATACGCTAAACTCAATCCCAAAGGGTTGGTTTGGACCCCTTTCGTCATGGGTAGAGGTAATGCTTCTGCTTATGATCATGCTCCGCCACTTAACACGGTTGCACCACGTGAGGAGGACGAAGACGAAGTCCCCAGTGTTGAAGGCATATCTAATGAAAGTGTCCAAGGCACATCTTTGAACGGTCTTACGAACGGTGATACAGAACAAATGACAGCGTCATTAGGCAAAATGAACACCGGAGTTAGTGACGTCATTAGAGTCGCAAGCTCAGAAGGCAGTGTTGGAAAGTCAGCGATGACGCAAAAGCTGAATAGTATAACCAAAAAATCATACTATGATCTCGCCTCCTCGATTCCGGCTATACGATTTGTAGTATTTCCTCCCTTGCCTGGTGCTCGAAGTCGAACTATCTCACGCCCAACCTTAGCGCGACCACCTTCACGTGCAAGACTATCAACCTCTTCGTCTGCTCGACCCAAATCTCGAAGGGCGGTCGGGGTGCCTATTCGACGTGCATCCACTACATCTGCTTCTGCTTCAAAGGCGCGGAGTGTAGCGCGTAGAAAGAGCGGAGGTACAGGGCGTGGGCCTGGTAGATGGCCAAAAGGAACTAAGAAGAGCGATTTTGGGAATGCGGAGAGTGGTCCTGGTTTGCCGCCTAGATTACTGAAACAGCGCAGTAAGCTGGGAAATGAGGTATTGCTTGGCGACGAAGAGGAAGAGAATGAAGAGACGAGAAGTGACCTCGATGAGTCGGCAATCTACAATACTCCCGCGCCGAGATCGAGACGAGATAGAGATCTGTCACGCAAGGGTGTCGGACTAGGCAAGCCTATTCTCCTGGGTAAAGGCAAAGGAGCGGGAATAGGGAAAGTCAAAAGCCCTCTTGTTGATGCGGAAGGCGATCAAGAAATGGCTGATGTACCAGTTGATGGAAGTGTCGTTGATCGTAACGCGGATGTAGATCAGGACGCCAACATAGATCCGAATCTTGAAGCGAGCACGTTTCTGGGCGCAGGAGAGGATGTGGATGCAGAGGGTGAAGATGAATAGAAAGTGGTCTGTATGCTAGCTTCATAGGGTGTGAATTTGTGCGTTACGATATTTGGAATGGTGAGCAAGGATACCTAGGCTGCGAATGGCGTTTGGACGGGGTATTCGTGAGCTTTGGCATTTGGGCATTGGCAAAATATCCTATTGCTTCAGGCACGTATTGGCGTCAAAATGAGAGATGGGGCTTTTGGCAAAATTTCTTAAATTGTAATCATTTATGTACTACTATTACAGTTGCTTTTAGTATCTTAGAAAGATACCACACAACGAACTAATCATTGTGTAATATTATTTCCCATATAACATCCACGTAATGGCAACGTCAACTAAATATTGGGCTTGAGACAGCTCTTTCCTATTCCTATCGGATAGTTTCAGTTGCACTCCAGACATTTAGTAATTTGAGACTGACTTACAATTCCGGGACAGGACAGACAATTCATGGAGTAACCACATCTAATAGTCATTCAATCTAGGGACATTTTTTTTCCTCCGAATTTTTCAAGACGATACATTCTCTTGGTGAAGCTTCAAGTGGGCGCACCGCCTGGCCTCATCTTGGGACTAGGCTAGATCAATAGAAACATTCAAGAGATCAAAATTTGAACCCCGATCTGACATGTTGCATGCCCATATTTCGGAACTTTGTAGTATCGCAAAACTTTTTCGATAAATTACGTCTTTCGTCCTCTGTCGTTGTCAGAGGTTTGGCTGAGTAATGGTACGAATAAGTGAATTGTTGGATGATTGACCAGTATTCAGAATGGCATGCAGCAGTGTGTACTAAAGAGCATAACTCTCTCAAGACTGCGGGTGGCTTGACAGAATTCATGACAGCATCTATGAAGTGAGTTCCGTGAAGACTAGACCCTGTGGATGAATGCTAAGAGTTTCTACGTTGCAGATACTTGGTATATCATTCCGAGTACAAGACCAAAGGAGTTGTCCAGCGTCTGGAAAGTCCTTACTTCCGGCAGTCCTGCGGATCTATATATGAAATTTTTAAAGGGGGGCTATCATTGAATCTTGCTGTGCTCCCATCATGCACGGTGGATTTACTGCAGAAATGCAAGTTCTCCTGTTTGACAAAAAACTCAATCAAAGTTTGATTATTCTGGTCGAAGTCGAGTTATAATCTGAGCAATTACATATCATAGACCTTTAAAACCCCTATTATCTAGAATTCTATTGCGGAGGAAAAATCTACTCTGGCACGTGTCTGGGAACTTAATGAACCCTTCAATCATTTTTGAGCTTCGATATGGATGGGGAAATTAGTGCTGAGTGGAGACGACGTAAGCCAGTGCTAAAACGCGGAAATAGTGTGGGTTTGAAATCCATGCGTGCGGCGAACGCTATGGATACCATTTTACTTTTGAAGCATTGGTCCGGTCTAGTTGGCTCGGGTTGTTGGAAGTTGTTGGAACAGTTAGAATGATTTATTTCATTGAGGATGCACTAATTAGGTATTGACACAACTGTCGGTTACCGACTGTTCGGTACGGCAAACAACTATGCTAGTATTATCAGAACCCTGCTTGACAGGCCTGAGCCTCTCATTGGGTCAATAGCGAGTGGTTTTTGTTTCTCGAAGATCCATTCTAGAAGTGCTTATGTTGGAATAATTATGGAATATGCACAGACTTGGTTGGCTGTGCCACTCGCCTGCAGAGAGTGGAGTATGTCCTATAAAGCACTGGTAATCACTCAAGATGATACCTGAGAAGTGTTCGGCAGATAGTATGAGGTTGTTCAATGACAAAATGATTCACGGCATGGAACGAAAATCAGAAGGAACGATTGTACAGTCGCGGAGGCTATCATCTACATACAAATCAAAGTATTAATCCAACTAGAGCGCCGTTCTTGCTCACAGTTGTTACCCTCCAACGATCCACAAATTCCTTCACCGGATCACGATTCTGGATGGCTTTGAACTTCTGCAAAATCCTGATGGTAATTATCGCAATCTGGGTGACGCCAAGATCGCTAGCTGGACACATTCGTGGCCCGGCCCCAAAGGATAGATTTATCCAACGATCAGGTTTGAAGTCGCCTTCCCATCTCTCAGGACGCCATATTTCAGCATTTTCTCCCCACAGATCCTTACGTCGAGCCATTGACGCGAACCAAAGTACAACCTTTACGCCTTTCTTGACGAAGATCGGAGAATTTGTATTTGGTCCTCCTCCTGTCGGAAGGACTGTGTCTCGGAGGGCAATGCGCTCATTGGCACTTACACCGGGGTATAGTCGCATTGTCTCGTTGATGACACAATTTAGATACTTTAAGCTCTTCACAAGTTTAGGAGTGAGTTCTGCGGATCTAATGCTCGATATTTCCTTTTGCAACTTTGTCCACGCTTTGGGATTGCGGGCCAGATTAAAGAACATGTTCGTAAGAGGCGTTGCAATGGCATCGTGAATAGGAAGGAATAATCCCAAAAGCTCATTTCTGATCTTCACTCGATCTTGACCCAGGTTTGCTAGTCCGTATGCTACAGAGTATTTCTGTTCCTCACTTGCTGATGTAGCAGTATCCATTACTTTGTCGAGTATTTTATCGACAAAGTCTTGCGCGTCTTTGCATGAAGACCAGAACTTAGGATCCCGAGAAAGAAATCCCAGAATGGCAACACCATTCTCATGCCTACACCCTGTAAAGAGTAATTATAGGCATCTAGGAATTTCATAGCATCTGCTGGAGTCTCTGGCAATAGGGTCAATGTTGACTTCCCAAATAAGATCTCAGAGGAGCTATCAAGTGCCAGTCGATCAAATAGAGGCTGTAAATCAACAGTGGAGCCGTCTTCAGGAATCAGAGCCAGAAGCCGCGCAACGTGTTGCTCAAACATCTGTTGGTGGTTTGCGGCCTGTGCAAAAATTGGAGTGAGTACGGATCGATGAGCCTTCCAAACAGCACCATCGGTAGACATCAATCCATCGCCTGCTAAAGGTTTCAACCCAAAAGATCTCATTGGCCCGACTCCGAATGATTCGAAATCTGTTCCATAAATAGCTTTAACGTGTTCTGGGGCTTCAGTGACGATTTCGGCAACACCATATGGAAATGATTGAAACGTGTGGCCATACTTTGAAAAGAGACCTCTGGCAATTGTATCGCGCGATTGCTTTTCATATGTTTCTGTGAACCGGCCGTAGATTATGTCAAGTCCAAAGCATGGATCTTTTTGGGGAACTGATGGTGGTGGCTGACACCCCTTTTTTATTTGAGTGGTCCTTATTTGATTTCGCAAAGCACGAATTGTAAGTAGAAAGATCATGCAGAGGAACAACAATGATGGATAACTGAGATTCGATATATTGAAGAGCGCCATTGTCAAAATCTGGGCATAAAGGTCAAAAATGAAAATAACATGAGTAGAAGTGAGGGAAAACTCCAAAGACTCTAACAATTTGAAGTGAATCTGGGGCGGAGAGGAACTGTGAAGTATCCCAACTCTTAGTAATACTCAGATATATTGTGGATAGCATCGTACCAACCCATTACCAACAAGCCAATTTATGACTACCTGGTATCCATCATGCAGAAACAGCGACAAGCATTAGCGCGGAAATAGATGTAACATAAGCAACTAACAACTACCAGGGGCTTCCGGAAATCTAATGTCGGTCTGGTATGCGTAAGCGAGTGTGCTAAAATGATCGATTCATTAGACTGTTATGATCTGATAGGACACCAATTATTCTATATTCAAAATCAAACAAATTTTATTCAGGATTCAAAATCCTATAGGTGTCCATCTAATCTCCATCTAGCTGGCTAATTACCTTTGACCGTATAAGATAAGTTATCTTTTTTTTACAAACACATCTCGATGTAAATTCGACAATGACACTTTTGTTCTGAATTTCAAAAGTCACCATGGTATTCTCGTCAGTACTTTCCGCCGAGGATAGCTCAGCCAGAACATCGGAGAATCCACAGCTTGTTGGAGGTTCTGCTACTGAAGCCGAAAGAGTACCCGAGAGGGAGATATCTTCTACCAATATTAATGCCACAGTTGCAAGAGATAGAGATGCTGCAGCGGAAAATTCTACTCGAACAATGAATGGGCTTTCCTGGATTCTAGTGGTTGCTTGTATTTCATAATCTACCTTTTTGTTCGCCATACACAACACTATCGTCGCCGATATCCAGACTGCAATTGTCGAAGAATTCGATGAAGTGGGAAAGCTAACGTGGGTTTCGGTGGCTTTCATGCTGGGAGCGGCTGGGACAAACCTGATGTGGTAATTAGTTGAGATTATTTGCACAAATCCTCATACTGACAGGTAGTGGTATATAGGGGAAAGGTATATGGTAAGAGTTGTGGCCCCGGCTTATCGCACACCACCCTATTTCGTAACAAAATCCCTATAAAAAAAGCTGTTTTTCTATATAAACTAATTTTTCTAATTATTCCATTAAACATTGAATAATTGATTTGGGAATCTGATATATAACAGATATTAATATTTCAAACTCCAAAAAATAAATAAAATATTTTTATCGATTTTTTTGAAAAAGGTATAAGCTCTTAAAATTGAAATTTTTCAAAAAATATTATATATAATACTTTTCCTATATGAAAAAATCAATTTTTTTGAAAATTTTGAAGATTCTAATTTCAATAATGTCAGGGTACAGGTAAAGACTTATATTGTACCATAAGGGTAGAAGAGCTATGGAAGAGTAAGGCCCTACTTATAAGAAGTAGGGCAAGCTAGTGGTCTATGCCTGAGGCACTAAGGCAACTACAGATCATGTAGTTGGCGCCGTGACAAATAATTTATAATTTTTTTCAAAAAAATTATTAAAAATATTCTATACATTTTTTTCAATTATTTTATTAAATTACTATTATAGATATCAATTTGAAAATTTTGTTTATCTTTTGATTGAAATAATATATAGTTCAAAAGTTGAAGAAATAAGGGTTTTTGGTGTGTTTTCGCTTAGTGTGCAATAAGCCGGGGTCTAAACTCTTACATTTGACGCGAAGTATGTCTACATATTCACAACCTTGATTTTTGAGGTCGGCTCCGCGATATGTGGTGGTGCTCCCAACATGAACGCTCTGATTGCTAGTCGAGCTATATGCGGACTGGGAGGGATAGGAATGTATATCGGTGTCATGACTGTAATGTCGGAGAATACATCAAAGACCGAGCGGCCAGTATATCTTGGGTTGATAGGTGTAAGTCGCCTCCACCGAATTTCAATGCCCAATATGCTAATACGAAACTATCGTAGATACTTTGGGGTATTGGCACAGTGTGAGACTCAAACTCATCAAATCGCTCACATGAAGCTAACATATCCACGGAGTCGGCCCTTTCATAGGAGGGGCTTTCGCCGATAATAGCGCCACATGGCGATGGGGATTCTATATCAACCTTTGCATTGGAGGAATCTTTGCACCTGTATACGTATTCCTCATCCCGAATTCTAAACCTCGATCTAATTTGGGTCTTCTTGGTCGATGGAGACATATCGACTGGCTTGGTGCCTTACTTCTCTTGGGTGCCATTGCACGCTTGCTAATGGCCATTGCCTTCGGCGGACTACTATTTCCATGGAATTCTGGATCTATCATCGGTCTTTTCGTTACCGGTGGCATTCTGTTCATTGCATTAGCCATTCAGCAGTCATATGCGCTGGGAACAACAGAGGAACACAGATTGATTCCGATAGAATACCTTCAGTCAAAAGAGATAGTCATCCTCTTCATTGAGACAGCCTGTGCCGGAGCTGCAGTGTTCCTTCCAATATACTTCATTCCCATTTTCTTCGAAATCATCCACGGCGAGTCTGCATTAGGCACAGGTCTCAAGCTCCTCCCATTTATTTTGGTCATGGTTACCATGAATTTTGTCAATGGTTTCACACTATCAAAATGGGGCTACTATATGCATTGGTATTTTGGATGTTCTGCTCTCCAAGTCATTGGTTCTGCGCTTCTCTTTACCATTGGAAGGGACACTTCGGTCAGTGCTATCTATGGATATACTGTACTCATGGCATTTGTCGGCGGTTGGAGTCAAGCATCATTTACAGTTGCTCAATTCCTTGTCGCTCCCAAAGACATTCTGATTGTGACGGGTTTCTTGACGTGTGCTCAATCAGGTGGAGCAGCGCTATCACTGGGAATTGGCGACACTGTCTTCCTGAATACTGCACAGAGTGGTATCATGACTCTGCTTCCGAATCGAAGCTCGTCTGAAATTCAAGGACTTATCTCCGGTTTGGGAAATTCATTTTTCGAAACTTTAGATGCTAATATACAAAACGCTATTCTGAACATTATTATGAGCAGCTTCAAGAAGCTTTTTGTCCTCCCCATTGCAGCGGGAGCTGTAGCGCTCGCCTTTTCAGTCTTCCTGAAAAGGCAGAAAATTGATGTCTCTTGAAAAGCTGAGGAGTACTCCCAGGGAACTACCTAGCATGCTTGTTACGATGTGTCAATTGTACCAATGGTCAAATGAATAAAAATCGAACGTGGCAAAGAGTCAAAATCAATAGCCTTCATTTTATCTAGTGTCCTTTTCTTTCAAGAAACTTCAGGAATTTCCTTTTAATCTTTCTGATTCTGGTCGGTACAATTTGTGAAAATGAAAATTTCTGGATAAGGGGTTTTAAGATTTCGTCCTGATATTAATTAACATTATTACAAGAAAATAACACTTTTCCACATTAACAGTTTTACTTCGAAGCAAAATTTATTCCTGATCATGATTTGCGTGGTCATAAATAATCAAATTTTTAGATATCATATTTCAAACCCAAAATTTTAAGTGAATATAAGTGTTGGTTCGAGAAGGATACGAAAGACGTAGCACCCACGTATTGTAGCTTCTGTATGTCTAATTGTATTCTATCTAAAGAGCTAGCTATGTAAGAAAGTAGTAAGCCTTATATAGGCAATACTGAATGAGCTAGTCTCTTTCGCATTCGCTTAATCCTTTTGATACAGTAGCCATTGTATTGAAGTCATTCCTTTGAAGTGAATACCCTTGTTCACACAATAAGGAGAGAGGTAGACTCAGGAAAAGAGGGGAGAGTAAAACGAATAGTTACGAGAAAAAAAGACAAAAAGGATGATATCTCCACAACGATATTTGACATTTCAAACCTCAGATAGTATATCAGACATATTGAGGTATTCATTGATACTGTAGGCAAATTGTTAAACTGCTCATTGCGAATTTTTGATGTCATCTAGTCCTTATTTGGCGCTACTTCCAAATATGTGTATATACAAAGCGGGTAACCAATATATTAGTCGATCGTTCCAAGCACCACTTAATGTTTAGAAATTAATTTATTATATTTGCTATAATTTACATATTCAATGACTACTGTTGTGATTAACACTTATTGGCAGCTACTTATTATTACACTCCATACTCGGAAGCTTCTAGTCTTAAAAGATACACTGCCCTTGCAAATCTTGATATCGAGAACTGTGCATTCTGGAAATCAAGATTTAAGTCTCCCTGCCATCATAAGGAAAGACTACTTTTTACCATGTTGGATTGCCATCTCGTGATGTAAGACCAACTGTTGGGAGTTGGAACCGGAGAGAAGAGCATCCGGTGCGGCACGAAAAGCATCACTATCTTCGTATTAAACGCTCTAAGCTTATCAAATTTCGTCTCAACCCCCGTGGGAATTATAAAATCCACCTGTCACCGATAGCTTTCCCGTCATACAAAATGCCCGTAACCAAATTATGACCACAGTAACCTGGCTTGTCACAGGCAGGTTATTCCCCGGGGTTTGAAGATGAACTCGTCCAAAACATTCTAGACCGAGGCGATAACGTCACTGCGAAAATTCAAGGCTCGAAAGATCGCATTAAGTACTTGAAAGATGCCAGTGCAGCTACCTTGTCTCTGGAACTAACCGCTTCGCGATTTGGATGGTTGGGAATGGGAAGAGCTCATCGTAAGCAACTACGATTGACTGGAGTGATAAATATACAACAGCATCATGACGTGGTAGCAAATTTGTATACTGCTCTGCGTTACAAAAGAACTTGAAGCGAGACCTCACAACTGTTTCAATTCTGATCTGCAAGTCAAATGCCCCTCCAACCTTAGCTATATTTCAATCCAATGACCGTTTAGACTCAAACATTTCAGTCTTCCAATTCAGATTTGAGGACTAGAAGGTCTTCAAATGTGATCATCTTAGAAGACTTACGTATGAATACTGCCGCAAGCTGATACTTTGTAATATTTGCTCATCAAGTAGCTGAGGACTCCAGCTGATTCCAACTCAACTACTCCCTCTGGAGACATGCTATTGTACGACTGATCTTGATGAGATGATATGTATTCATGTAGTTCTGTGGCACCAAGAATATATAGTAGAAAAGACATAAAAATAGCATCATGGCAATCAAAAAAGCGTTTTATTTCACTTCGATATCATAGCTATGAACAACAAACAATGACGGTATATGCCAAGACCCAAACCAGACTCCTCGCTAAATAGTAGAACAATAATTCAAAGACCAAGTTAAACGAATTTATACTATGGGCTTGGACCTCCATCAGGTAAAGCCGGCAAAGGTTTTTGCTCTTTAACAGGCTCTTCTTGTGTGCGTGTTTGAAGGGATTGAGATTCCCTGATATCAGCAACACTTTGCCCTTCCAATGCATCGTGTTGAACACCCGTGTACGTGGAGTTCACCTCATCCATGGGATCGTGACTCTCAATATCACTAGGCGGGGGACTAGCCAGAGCAGTAGGGTTTCTACCTCTGACACACCTTTCTTTCGCGTCTGAAACTGATAGGAACGAAGCAGGTGAAGAATTATGAGATCTAAGTGAAGGTCCGAATGATGAGGTGCGAAGAAGTTCATGTTCTTTAGATGCGGATAGCAAGGGATTAGAATTTTGGTATTTCATAGTGATGCTTCTGCGAAGTCGAGAAAAGGTACCAGTGGTTGTTCCGGTTATAGTACTGGTGGTTGCGTCGTCAAATGAACGCGGAGGAGTTAGCTCGTTATCAGAGCGGGAATATGTCGATATGGGTGTTGGAGGACCCCAGCCTCTTGATCGGGAGCGCGAGTTGACAGATTCATCTGAGGGTTGGCGTCGATGGTGGCCGGTCCACGCATTTACAGGAGAACTTGCGTCACCGATGTAATCTTCGCGGTCCTGAGAGGTGTAACCCGGCATATCGATTGGACTTTCTATACTAGTGATGTTGCTGGTTATGCGGGAACGCCGATTATGGAGAGAGAAGCTGAGAGGCTCAGCACTGGAGACACGAGAGAAAATCACGAGGCCAAGACACAGAAGAAGCAGTACAGATTGGATGATAGACATGCGCTTTTGAAAGACAACTTCATCGGCTAGGATATTGAGACGAGCACTAATAGCCAGAATTTCTCGACGGGATTCTTCTCGCTGAGTTTCAAGTGAAATAACAGTCGATTGCCATATTTCATCATATTGTCGACGAAATACGCGGAGTTCTGTAAGAACTGTGCTGTTGAGATTTTCGAGAAAATCGGTTGTCTTTTGAAGTTGCCTTTTTTCGACTCTCAGGAAGGCTTCTCGAAGCATCTTTGATTGCTCTTCAATATACTTCAATGATAAAGTTGAGTTCGTTTCCAACAGCTGTAGGCGTCTTGACACAGCCTTGAAGAAGCTCTCTTGGATAGTGGGTAAAGAGGCAGATCCAGAAGAAGTGTTTGTACCTCGCGTCTTATTTGTACTTGAAGCATCTTGAGATTTGTTAACTATAGTAGTCGTGGAACTTGTCGGGATAGTTGAATGTGAACCATCGTGAGTTACCTTGGAAGATTCATGAGTTTCTTGGGTAAGTGACGTGCTTGCTAGAGATGCTTTATCCTCGGACAACGTTTGCTGTGCAGAAGGACCGGTGAAAGACAATGATGAGGATGTGATACCATTATCTGTGAAGGCAGTAGAAATCATTTCAGGTGATGGTGGAGCTTTCATAGTAGTCTTGAAATTATATGACTCATTCTCCACCGCGGCTTGACTTGTAAGAATGTGTTCCGGAGCATCTGAAGGATAGCACAAGTGTAGAGATTGTATAGAGAGTAAGTCAAATTCTCTGGCTATAGGCTTCTTCCAAGGAGAAGTTGGTATTGGCGGTGGTTTAAGTTGCGTCTCCACCGGCATTTCTTCCCTTTGAACATCTCGGGTAGTATGTAATACTGTAGGCTCTGCTTGGCTACTTTTTGTTACGCGCACAGCTTGTGCTTCAGTCGAAGTGGCCTGGATGATTTCTGCTACAGCTTCTGGAACAAATCCTTCTTCAGGATCCTCATCCGCTTCCTCGTCGTCATCATTGTTAGCTTCAGTATCCTTCCAGCTTTCAAGCATACGAGTACCATGAACTCTCACGAGCGAGAGTGGGCAATAGTACTCCTTTCCGTAATGTGTCAAAAATTCGATGCGTATATATCTTGCCCAAATTTGCGGATTCTCTATCAAAAAGGCTTGTATTTCTCGCGAGTTGCGAGCCTCATAGACACCTAAATCTTTCCACTTGTCCATCTTCACAGGCCATCGATCGCTGACACTAACTCTAAATGTTCTTAGCATGCTAGAGAAGAATTCATAATTCGCAAGAACTAGGGTATCGATCCATATATCTTCCTAATGATCTGTTAGCAATGTGATCTCTGTTGCGGTGTAGCACAATGCCTTACCGAAAGCTCAATGACCAAAAACTTGTTCGGTGTTTTACATTCCGAAAGCATATAGGAATCTTTATTCTCTATCAACACAGCTTTTGAATTTTTGGCACCTTGATGGGTCTTCAGAACAGTAGCTCCAGCATCAAATGATGCATAGGAAAAACGCTCTTTGCAGGTCTTGCCAGCATCCTTACTTCTGTGTTCCTTTCGATGCTCAGAACCACTTTTCTCTTCTTGTGAACCCTGATTTGGACCCATGCTTTTATCTTCGGTCGTTCTTGAGGTTTGCTCAGCCGCTCCATTTCGGAAAGCGCCAAAGTCCAAATCAATTTCCCCATCATCTCCGAGAGACTCAAGATTGTTCTGAAAAGCTTCCGACTCTCTTTTCCTAGCCGCTTCCGCAGATCTTCGCTTGCCCAGATTCAAATCTTGCTGCCCAGCTTGCTCCAATGTTTGTTTCTTCCACTCTTCGAATGACAAGAATGAGGCATCATTAAGCTCTCCTTCATCGACAGTATTCGGAGATGCCGTAGGAGATGGTATGTCTGGAGATGGGCTAGAAGATTCGAGCTGAATGCCGGATATACGACTTGTTTCGCCCGTAATTTTAGCTTCGTCATTTGTTTGGGCACCCGACTCGCTGAAAGAAGGTGTGTTCGATATCGTATCCGTTACAGCATCATTTTCCTGGCTTTCGAGAGTACTAGCTGCACTAATAGCATTCG